GGGGGGGGTAAATCTTTATAAAATTCCTATTCATTCTGTACAGTGTACAGGTTAAGGGTAAAGACTGCATGGTACTGTATTTGGGCAAATGGGTAAATGAATAAAGACAAATCATAAAATTCTACTAACTCAGTACAAATAAAAGGATTTTAACCCAATTTGGTATGGAGCATCCCTAGGCTAAGGCATTGCAATGTAAGAGGTAGATGGTAGGCCCAGTAGGGTAGGTAAAAGTAAGTTTCTTAAATCTTTTCCTTGATTGTGGATAGGGATTTTAACCTAGTTACGTCTTGAGCATCCCCAGGCCAAGAGTATGCATACGTTATGTAAACTGTAATGGTGGTACTAAAATGTGTAAAAGAAGGCTCTGTCGTGTCCACCACCCCAATTTTTGACTGTTCACAGTTAGATTTTAAATCGAACCAAAAGACCAGGTGAGCTTTTAAGGCTACTGTGCCTCTTGTTCTTGTTGTGAGATATGTATACCTTTACAATTAATGCTGCTAACATTAAAAGTGCAATGTTTCTTTACGGGAAGCTATTTTGATCAAGTTGTTAGATTTTTACATTTTACTGCATATATACACAAAGGTTGTTTGTTTAGTGAGGTACCATAGAATAGTTTCAGTCGTGCCTAAGACACCACAACAAGAATGATACCATGTCATTCATTTCAGGTCAGTTTATTCGTTTAAATGATACTCGCCTGATGTGTCTCTAAATGGAACTCTTGCGTATCTCACAGTCACTATAGGGTAAATATACCTTATTCCCTTCAGCTAAAAAGTACTTAGTGCAATTGATGTTTCAAACAAATAGATTGTTTATAAAAAAAAATATCGCATTTTATTGCTTTATGAATACATGCCCATGAACTTTTAATTTACAAATAGAAAAATAATGAATACTCACAAATTCAATGTTCATGTTTTATAAGTAATGCAGTTAAGTTGTTAATTTGTATGCAACTTCTAAATGACTGAAGATATACTCGTAATGATACCATAACATCCTGTTAGGATGGACACATACTACATTTGTGAAACGAAGATCCTAAAACAGAGGTCAAGCTTTAAATCATTTTTATCATCAATTTTAAATCATGTGCTCATAATTGAGTGCAATAACTTCATCAGATATCTTAATTTTAAAGTCCAGCTAGTGATATTTTATAGAGACTAATATAGCAATTATACTAGGTAAAATATCTATACAGATGTGTCTATCAAGGCCATACAGCCTGAGCTACAGTAGAGATTATGACGATACAACATAGACCTGTGTACTAAACTCAACAAATCCATGCCAAGCTAGAGGACACATGTCCAGTAACTGCTTTTAATCTGATGGGCACACCACAAATTATTACATCTTGCAAGAGATATTAACAGTGTTGCATAACTTTCATCATGATTTTTAATGAATGGGACCAATTGATTTCAACAATGGTATTATATAATGAAATTTTGAATTTACTATATCCATTGGTATACTTAAAGGAGTTTGTAATTGATCTTGAAGCTGTTTTATCTCAAATATTTTCATGTCATTGTTTCACGGATAAAGGTTGTTTGTAAACAAAATATTTGTCATAATCATACAGATGTTTATATATTTTGGATTCATTAAAAAGCCTGACTTTCAATATATTGGCTTGTGTCTTGTATAGTATACCACTACTATTTGGAGACATGATCTGTGTCACACATGGTGATGACAGGAAAAATCATAATGAACCACATGTGGTGACGGGAGAACCACATACGATGATGAGGGACATCATACTGAGTGCCACATGTGGTGACAGAAGACATCATGATGAACCACATGTGGTGATGGGAGACATGATGAAAACCACATGATGTGGAAAGACATCTTGATGAGAACCACATGTGCCCATGAGAACCACATGTGCCCATGAGAACCACATGGTGACAGATGACATGTTGAGAACCACATGTGATAATGGGAGACATCATGGTGAGTGCCACATGTGGTGACAGGATACATGATAACGCCATCATTAGGAGAACCAAATGTGGTGAGGGGAAACTTGATAAAAACCACATTTGGTGACAGGAGACATCTTGATGAGAGCCACATGTGGTGATGAGAGACATTATCAGAACAACATGTGGTGACAGGAGACATCTTGATGAGAGCCACATGTGGTGATGGGAGACATTATCAGAACAACATGTGGTGACAGGAGACATCTTGATGAGAGCCACATGTGGTGACAGGAGCCATCTTTATGAGAGCCACATGTGGTGACAGGAGACATCTTGATGAGAGCCACATGTGGTGACAGGAGACATCTTGATGAGAGCCACATGTGGTGACAGGAGACATCTTGATGAGAGCCACATGTGGTGACAGGAGACATCTTGATGAGAGCCACATGTGGTGACAGGAGACATCTTGATGAGAGCCACATGTGGTGACAGGAGACATCTTGATGAGAGCCACATGTGGTGACAGGAGACATCTTGATGAGAGCCACATGTGGTGACAGGAGACATCTTGATGAGAGCCACATGTGGTGATGGGAGACATTATCAGAACAACATGTGGTGACAGGAGACATCTTGATAAGAATCACATGTGGTGACAGGAAATTCTTACCTTTCTTGAGCACCTAGATTTACCTGGGGTTTTATTTTAGGGGGGGGGGGGGGGGTTGGCATAAATCTTTTTGTGTACATAATGCTCATGAATTACTGTAATTGTCTTTGTCAATGGGCCAGGTGAGCTTATGCTGTACTCCGGCGTCTGTGTCAAGTTTTTTCTTTTGAATGACTTCTGAAAAACTGGAGGACCTAGGGTCATGATCTTTGGGATGAGGGTGCTATATAAAGTTTCCTCATTAAAATTATCTTGACCTAGTTTCAAGGACACATGGGTCAAATATGTTAAAAACTTAAAACAACAATATCCTAAGAACCATTTTGACTAGTCATAATCCTTGGGTATGTTATGCAGACAAGCTCACTGCTGTGTGAATCGTTTTCTTAATTACAGTGATGAGGTCAAAGATCAACTTTAAGTGCTAGCCATAGTCAAAGGTTAACGTAGGTTAATAGCTTTAAAATTCAAATTTCAAATTTCAAACAACAATATCTTAAGAAGCGTTTAAGAGATGTTAAAATGTCTTGTGTTCTAGTTACCAAATTTGGTCTGAAGTTACCTATGTCAGTTTCATGAAACAAAAGAAACAGGTGAGCGATACTACAGGCCCTCTGGACCTCCTTGTTTTGTTCACTCTTAGTTCTGTCATTGTGTATGTGTTGACCGTACAGTAGAGTTTTTTCAGTTGGTAAAAATCTAATGTCTGTCAAGGGTTAAGATTCAATCGCCTGCAGTGCAGCAACCAAGTAGCTTTAATTGCATGGTTGTTGGGTTCTAATGTCTCTTTAGAGTTGGAATTCAGACACCTATGATGGCCAGGTAACTAAGTTTCTAAAATGTGGAATAGAATTATAAACCTTATTTAATTTACAACAATTATGAAACAAATTATTGTAACTTACATTAACCACTCGATCTTGTTGGCTTGGATGATAGTGTGCAATATCTGTCTAGAGTTTGAGATCTATCTCCAAGTAGCTCAGTTGCTTCAAGAGTATGACATCGAACAGCTCATGTTCAATTACCAATGACCTAAGGTAGCATAGTTGGTTTGAGCAAGTAATATATGTCCATTGTTCGAGTTCAAATTCCAATATACATTGCTTAAAGTGTCTGCATAGATTTTAAAGGCCCTGGAGCCAGGCCTTTCGACTAAAATACAGTTAGGAAATGCAGAATATAAACTGTTCAAACAGTTCATGTACAACGATGGTTAGGCGGTACATTTTTTGCCAAGAGATGTTATATAAACTTGAAAAACAAGAGGCCCAGAAGGCCTATATCGCTCACCTGAATATTTAAGCAGTCACAGCAAAATATTCTCATTAAATACTATATTGCACTACAAATATTTCACTCGCAAACTTTGTCGGCTCAATCTGTTGAAACTACCAGCCAAATATTATTATAAGATTCTATGCTTTTTGGTTCTTCTTCTGAAGTTGTTTGACATATTTTCTCCTTTGACCTTGTAAGTAAGTCAATGTCATTTTCCTTCTCATACTTTGTTAGCTCTATCCCAAGAAGCTACCAGCCAAATCTTATGAATCCATTCCTTTTGGTTCTTCAGAACAAATCCTTTGAAATGTTGTTGACCTCTGTGGCCTTTAAAGTAGGTTGAGGTCATTTTCATTTGCAAACTTTGGTTAGCTCTATCCCAGGCAGCCACCCGCCAAATATCATAATTTTATACCTTTCGATAATTCAGAAGAAGTCGTTTGATGTTTTTGACATATTTCACACCTGTGACATTGTAGGTCAAGTAGGTCAAGGTCATTTTCATTCTCAAACTTTGTCGGGCTCTATCTCAGGAAGACAACAGCCAAATATGAAGGTTCTATAACTTTTAGTTCTTCAGAAGAAGTCGTTTAAAGAGTTTAAACTATTTGACCGCTGTGACCTTGAAAGTAAGTCAAGGTCATTTTTAGTCTCAAACTTTGTTGGACTCTATCCCAGGAAGCCACCAGGCATATATAAAGATTCCATACCTTTCAGTTCTTCAGAAGAAGTCGTTTGAAGAGTTTGACATATTTAACCCCTGTGACCTTGAAAGTAGGTCAGGGTCATTTTCATTCTCAAACTTTGTATGGCTCTATCCCAGGAAGCCACCAGCCAAATATGAAGATTCTATACCTTTCAGTTCTTCAGAAGAAGTTGTTTGAAGAGTTTGACATACTTAACCCCTGTGACCTTGAAAGTAGATCAAGGTCATTTTCGTTTTCAAACTTTGTCGGGCTCCTACCAACGAAGCTTTCAGTTAAATATCATGGCTCTATGCCTGTTTGTTATTCAAAAGAAGTTGTTTAAAGGAAAAGTTGACGGACGACTACGGACGATGCACCATGACATAAGCTCACTTACCCTTCGGGCAGGTGAGCAAATAAAAACAGAAGGCTTCTCTGGGTAGTATGCATAGTTAAAAATATCATTTTATTATCACAACTCATTGTTATGGTGTACAAAAGGAAAGACTGTACAAGCAAATGATTATCAAACATACAAGCCCCGCATCACCTAACTGGAATGAATTAGAATGTCAATGTAATCCTCAATGGTTACCTAATAATGTTCCACTGAAGTAACTCTTGTATTCACTCCTACTTCCAGGACCTCACAGTTCAAATAGCTGTGTAGCGGGCACAGTGACAGTAACACATTATAACACACTATTTCTGAGGATTGTTAATGCTGTCAAAGGCCTTGAATTCATACACATATACCTTGTTGCCCTTTGTGACACTGGTCACCCTCGCGGTGTCCTTTAACTCCTCCAGACATGTAGCAATGACTTGTTCAGCATCAGCCTTCACTTTCTGCCAAAAACAACACAATTAATATTCAGAAATGAAACAATTACAGTTATCTTAACTTATATTATTCACTTTTGTTGGCCTGGATGTTAGTGTGCGGGGGTTTTGATGTGGGAGGAGACCAGAGTACAGGAGAAAACCAAAATGGTTGGCAGGTGACCCCGTATCTTTTCACGTCCAATTGTATGAAACTCCAAATTAACATATACAGTAGAACCCACTTATTATGATATCAGTTATTATGATATATCGCTTATTATATTTTTCCCATGTACTGATTTTTTCCTTCTTTACTAGTAACTAAGCAAAAAAAAATGTTCATAATGATATGGTCAAAGGTGGGACCCCGCTTATTATGACATTTTTTTCTGCCGTGAATGGATTTTAATCTGTATTCAAATAATTGCAATTAAATTGAAGATAGGTGTACAATTCATTGAAGATAGGTCCAATTTAATAAAGGAAAGGTACAATTGAATTGAACCTATGTATCTTTAATTAATTGTACCATTCTTCAATTATTTGAAGATAGGTACAATTAATTGAATATATGTTAATTTGGCGTTCCATGCTATTGTGGAATCAAACTGTGGGTGTCTTGGAGCTACCTTACAACCCTCAATAGGATAGTGGAAGATGTGCTGTTTCAGCAGAATATATACAAGTGCTCATAATTTATATACAGTTGTGTGAGCGCACAACGCACCAAACACAGGGTCCATATATACATTGTGCACTAATCTAATCGGTACAATTGTTTAATGGACATAACGGAATGAAAATAATCTGGAAGGCTCATATAAAATAAGATACCTTGTATATATTATTTTTTTCATCGCAATAATTACGATGGATATGTTCAATTTTACAATACGTGTTACCCAGTATTACAATGGGTTTGGCTCCAATGCCACAGAACAGGTAAACAACATTTTGATGAGTGCCTTGAGTTTTACTTTGCCTGTGCCTAACAGAGAGCTGATATGTGATAGTACTGAATGATTTTTCACTCATACACCACACTTCAGAAGATATTAAACAGTCAAGAATCTTTTTTTTGACTGGTACAATGCAGACTTGATGTTGAGTGCTTAGCTGTTTCTTGATTGGTTCATGAAACATTTTCTGCGATATACAAACTTGGAATTAGATATATGAAAGAAAGGTGCCCTGTGCCATCTGGTATGTTCATGTTATGATCCATATCCCACTTTACTGTGTTTTTCCTACATGCAGTAACCTCCCCTTAACTTCCATTTAGATATATCTGTAGAACAGTTGGGCCAGCACACTTCCTTGGACCAGGTAGCTTAATCTGTTACAGCAATAGTTAAGCAACCTGAAGTTCAGGGTTCGAATCTAGATCTAATTACCCCACACCGTTTCGTTTTTACATTCAGATCATATCTTATTTATTTCAACTTAATCGTTTCTCATATTAGTCCCGCAAGGTATGGTTTTCTTTTCAGAAATGATGAATAAAATCATACTAGTCATCTAGTCATTCAAGAACAAGAGCCCTAATGGGCCTGCATCGCTCAGATCATATCTTATTTATTTGATAATTTCAACTTAATCATTTCTCATGTTATTCCTGCAAGGAATGGTTTTCTTTTTCTGAAATGATGGATCAAATATATAGTCATTCGAGAACAAGAGGCCTAATGGGCCTGCACTGCTCACCTGGTACTAATCTCACACTTGTAACCTTAAAAGTGGACCAAATTCATTTCTAGTACTATTTACAGTTTGAGGACTGGCTCCTGACAACTTTTCAGCCTGAGGGTATTAGGTTCTGATTTGTTCAAACTGGAATCACCATACTTAGTCTTACACATTGCATTTGCCAACTATTTGAAATTCAAATTACCATACTTTTATAACTATTTGTTATAATACGCTTTTGGCAAAAATTTACTTAACCTATGTTCTATTTATGATGGTAAAGGTTACACCATTTGGCAGACTATTAAAATCATCAGGCTTTTAATTCTAAATTTTAAAATAAAATAATTAGATGGACATCTGATGAAGTATGAGGGAATTGTCATGAGAGCATTAATTAGTGACCACCAATATACATCATGTACTTACCCCTTCCATGGAGTGCTGTCTGACTGGCTTCTTAGAATATCCTTGTGAAGACAACACTAGTTTCACACGAGACCCTTTAAGGAGATTCCTTTTCATAAGCTTTAGTTTCAGTGTAAGGTCTCTATCATGAATGTTAACACTAATATTATATTCTTTAAATTTCTCTCTGTGCTGATCTTTATCTTTTAAAATTGCTTTTTTTATATCAACTTCTGATAAAAGTTTGTATTCATCAACATGCGCCTCTTGTAACCTCTCTTTCCGAACATGAAACAATTTCATTCCTTCCTTTTGTGCCATGATATGTGCCCTTTTTAGTGTCATTTTCTGTACAAGTTCGTTATTAGAATCTAGAATGTGCACCATTTTTGAATCTGGATCTGTTGAGAAAGAACGAACTGGTCTCAAGTTCAGACAACAGACCTTCTGTTGAGAATTGAAACACACTACAGACACACATCGTGTCCACTGGGGTGTACATTGTGCAGCACAAGTCTTATGTAGTCCAAGTTTCCTTTGTAAATGGATACCTCTGGAAATTATAGAACGCAGTTGGCAAAAATTTTGCAGTCTGCAAATAGATGACAAAGGAATCATCTTGGCTTCTTGGTCCCAAACTCATTAATGCTCGGAGACACAGCTTCTAAAAAGAAAAGAAAGAAGATATTGACATTTAACATGTACAGGTACATGTAGATCAAAAGACTTTTTCATACTATTCTGTGCCTTTACACAACAGAGAAATTCCCTAATATATTATCAATAGATAATTATTTTTTTCTCTAACATGATGTGTAAAAATAATGTCAAAACAAATTATATAGTTACACTAGCCAATGCAAATGACAATAACCTAGTCGCTCAAAACTGCAAATTAAACGCATTCTGAATTCCCTCCAGTATTTTAGGAAATATATATGTTGCTTTTCTATTGTAACAAAATGGTCTGATTATTATTGTGTAGGTAATTAATGAAAAAGTATAGAAACATTTATGTATTGTAAAGTATAAAGTATTATTAGAGAGCAGCACTTTGGTCAAAAGTTCAAATCCTATAATCCGTCTAAAGCTGTGCCTTGGTTGACACAGACTGTTGCAGAGGTAGATAGTCCAGGCAAGCACATCCATGGCAGTTACAATGTAGGGGAGCGGCCACAGGGTTAAAATTAGAGATAACTATAGAAAATAAGACGGGATCTCTCTCAGAGATAGAGAGAGAGTGAGAGTACTCCAAGATAGGGCTATGGTCTCTGACTGTTATGGCCACAATTTGAAGTTAATTAACAAGAAGTCAACAATGAGTTGTTCAGTGTGCTATATAATACTATGTTAGACCGAGTCACAATAGATTGAATTTTATTTCGACTCAGGAGCCCATCGGGTAAAATACAGATAAGAAAAAGGTAAAAAGGCTGTTTCCTATCTGCGTCATTGCATTTTTTCCGGCACTGAAGTAAACTATATAGATGCAGGGTAAGCTACTATAGGTTCTTGTGTGTTCAGGATCTGTGTGGAAGGCCCAAGTAGTATAGCAGAAATAGGACTGGATAAATTACCTGCCACCATACAGACCTACTGTAGGTCCTGTTGGTAAAAACATATGTTTATGCGTTTAAGAGTCCAAATTGCAAATATTGTTAATTAGACCATGCCAAATCAGAACAAAATTCCTTTGACCTAAATTAGAAAAGAAGTCTTCAAAAGGTTAACCCCCTATACTAGTATTTCCCCTTTTTGGCCCTGCCTTATGCTTGAGTACTAATATTGTTGATGTGTGAAAGCTAAAGGAATATCAAGGAAACCAGCCGTATCCATCTCTGTGTTTCCTGCTGTACCCCAAAGTGGGAGAACTTTTCAATATACACCTTAGCGGCATGTTGGTAGGTCAAGGTCATTAACTTGAGGAAACTTTATGCTGTATATTCTATCCAACCATGCCACTGGTCAAATACTATCACCCTGGACCTACTAGTAATGTTGAAGGAGTTGTTTCAAGGTTCTTTTAACACATTTGACCCTTGTGATCATGAAGTAATATTATGTCAAGGTCATTTATTAGAGGAAATGATATAACACTCCATCTCAGATACCTTACTGTCCAAATATCACAGGTTTTCCAGTTCTTAAAAAGAAATCATTCAAAGCAAAAGGTTGGCAGATGGTGAACAAATAACACACCATACCATAAGCTCACTGCAGGCACTTTGAGAGCTAAAAATGACCAAACATCTTCTCATAAAGAACCAAAATACCTTAAGTCATTGTATCAGCCAATCACTTGCTGAGAAAAATCAAACATAATTTGCTCAGGTTCTGCAATATTTTCTTTTTTTTCCGAGATCAGCAAAGGAGCTATTTGCAATTGGTACTGTACCATTAACAGCACAACTCTGAACCTAGCTGTAGAACCAGGTGGGGATAATGAATGTATAGATAAACAAACTACATGAATGTTGCATTTATTGCCATCTTGGATTAGTGTAGCGGAACTGGACTGGATCGATCTTCAGCGACCAGATAGCTCAACTGGTAGAGCACCTGTCTAAGAGTTCGGAAGGTCCGGGGTTCGAACCCCGGTCTGGCCGTGCACTTTTCCTCTCCTGGTTCATTGGTTCATTGCAGGTTTGGCAGGGTTCAATTGTACATAGGATTAAGGTCGCCGTCTAGCTTCGAGCTAGAGGGAATTTCCCTTTAGCTCAGTGGTAAAGCGTCCGACTAGGAACCTGGAGATTGAGGGTTTGATCCCCGTTGGAAGCACACTATTCTCTTTCCTGTTACAAATGGTGTCTGTGGCCTGCTCTGTGGTGACAGGGAGTTAGAACCTGGGTTGTGGTGATTGAGGGCGAACACATTTAAAAAGGGGGGAGTAGTGTGGCAGAGTTCAATTGTACATAGGATTAAGGTCGCCGTCTAGCTTCGAGCTAGAGGGAATTTCCCCTTAGCTCAGTGGTAGAGCGTCCAACTAGGAACCTGGAGATCGAGAGTTCGATCCCCGGTGGAAACACACTATTCCCTTTCCTGTTACACAGGTAACACCGTCGTAAGCGTCTAGTCGCTTCTTGAGGTGCTTCTTAATACTGTCCACTTCACTTCAGGTTGCATTTGTAGGCATTTGAAAAAGACATTTTTCTCAAAAACTAGTGAAAATGATTGACATGTGCAGTGGTTGGTAACAAAAGTTGCATCCTAATTCAATATAAAATAAGAGTATTCATTTATAAAAAAAGACTGACAGGCCTGTATAGATCACAAATCTCAAAACAAAAAAAAACAAAAAAAATATTTAGTATGAATACACACATTGTGGTTAAGTTTTTACAGACCTTTCAATGAGCTGTACATGGAAGTATAGATAATAAAAGGTTGCACGAGTTAAAAAATACTGAATTTAGATTGGACTAATTTTATTGATGCCGGAAGTCTGTATGTATTACCCCAGCCACAGGGGCATGGATCGCTTTACTTATAATATTAAAAAATAGGGGTCTCCTATACTAATATATACATTAGTAAAGGAGACCCCTATTTTTTAATATAATAAGTAAAGCGGTATATTATATAGGAGACCCCTATTTTTTTAAATTATAAGTAAAGCGATCCATGCCCCTGTGACCCCAGCTAGTTAGTAGAAGCTGGTCTCAAACTTGTTGGGGTGATTTTTCCAGTGTTTATTTAACCTGGTCTTAAAAGAAAACAGAGATGGGGCATTTATAAATAATTACTGCACTTGATCAGAGAAACCATTCCAGTTATTTACAAGTCTTAATTGATTTATTGCACATAATAATCTAATATCATAATTTGCCATAAAATGTGTGTTTATGTTTATAGCATATCTACTGTGTCATTTTGTTGTATATTACAGCAAATATTAAAAAATAAAACTATAAATAGCTGCAATAACCAGATAGGAGAAGATGTCACAAGTTACTTTCTGTTTGGGCCGAAGTTGATACAATTGGTTTGTCAGGTCATTTATCAACAGTTACAGAATACATGAAATAAAGGACGACACACAGCAGATCTGTCATATGGATGTATGAAGAAATAATATCAAATATGTCTAGCAGGCGAAGTCTGATGTGTCTCACCTTCACGGAGTAATGGGCCCTTTATGCCTATTTTTGTAGTTTTGTCCCTTAACTTACTGACCACAGTTTCGTACACACTCGATGTACTTTATTTCGGAATATTTTGTATTCCATATTCCGACTGGTAGGGTTGGTGTATTGAAAATAATATCACTGATTGGTGTAATCTGATAATTTATTATTTTGATGAGTAATAACTCTTTTGCTGATCTTCGAAAAAGCGAAACTGTTACACCGGCATTTATAAATAAAAATGGCTGCGGTTGAAGCACCAGCCGCGCCAGCCGTAACAGAAGATGATGAAGCCTGGCTCTATGGAGGTAGCGTGAATGTGGACATGTTGTTGTACTTAAATATATTATTATATGTGATCTTAAATACTTAAATGAGTACTTATTCCATGTCTTATTTATTCGATAGTTACACATGTTGGTCGACAATCGTATCACAATCGTGCTTGTCCGTAAAGCTTGTGTACAGTAGACAGGAGTCTGACGTTCTTCCTCTTCTTAGCTGTACAGGGGTGTTTAGGTGTCAGGTCATTTCGATAACAAGTCGTTTCGGGACTTTTTTCGGGTCGTTTCGGGACATGTCAAAAGTAGTTTCGTTTTTTTTCATTTTTTTCCCATTGTCTTTTTTCTTTAAACATATTTTAATGTCAACTAAATTAAGACAATCGATTGGATAAATATTATTACAACTTATAATAGTCATCTCCCTTCATACATTTACCATTACATGATTTTGATAACACATGAATAAATATATATAATATTATCACCGACACAAATACACAACATTATGAACATAGAAACATCGTTCAAACTATATTGGTGGATTTGATGAATTGATTCACATGTCTAAAATATATTCTGCGTGTATCACGTTTTTACTTTCATGAAGTTTAATTTCAATATAGCAAAAATAAAATGCTTAATTAAAACATTGTTAGAATCAGTGTTAACTCATTTGTCTCTTAATGTCAATAACAATTATAACGGAGAATAAAGTGAATTGAAAACATATTATTACAATTTCAAACAAGAAATTAACCTATCATTAATGAAAGAAATTGATGTTGAATATCATAAGTTCCTCTAGATCTGTATTTAATAATATAATGAGATAAGTTTCATCAGGTAACAACACACTGCCAATCGGGTAAATGTTGGTAGGTATCCCCTCAAGCACTAGCAATCTGTTAACACCAACCAAGCATGGGTAGGTCGTGATACAGGTCATAGACTTAAACCATACTTGTGTATTTACATGACTTTTTATGAAACGGGAGCGAAAATGTTATTTATAATTGAAAATTGTATATGTCCCGAAACGACTTCGGGTCTCCCGAAATGACTTGTTAACGAAACGACTAGCATTAAATGTTTATGTCCTTGGGACCATGTGCAGAGGCGTGAAAAAAGGAGATTAATATTTACAGTGATTAGTTGTTGTTTTTTATCATTATACTGTACTGTACATTTTTATTGTATATTGGCCGGAGTATTTTTTATATACAAATTGTAACTATTACAGTATACCAGATACAAGACATTTTATTGATAGTCGTATATGAAAACAAAAACAAAAGTTCTATTGATGAAACGTCAGACTCCTTTCAACAGGCACCTGCATATGGTATGGAAATATGTCAAAATAAAAAATTGTCTGCCAACCCTAGGCGGCAGGCCTACCAGTTGTAGTTTCTTTGCTTTTGAACTTTGTTTGTTTTCTATATTATTAGCAATTGTGTTTATAAAATCTGTTCTTGCTCTACATGACATTAGGTAAATTTACTAGATAATAAACAACACAATACAAGCTGCTAACTACTTTTAGTTTTCAAAAAAGTATTAACCTATTTTATAATAACATTAGTCCGAATTATTCTGACGTTTTATCGACTTTTTTCATATCGAAAAAAGTCGATAAAACGTCAGAATAATTCGGACTATAATAGCATGTGATTGTGAAACCTAACAAAAGAATCAAACACATAGTACATTGTCCCTAGGCAGTACTGCAGATGGTACCGGCCCGGTTGTAATTTTGACATTATGATAGTGCGATAAATGGAAGTTGAAATTTGTTAAAGCATGACATTTCATTACATTTTATGAATATTTCTTAAAATAATTACTGATAATTTACAGATATTGATAATAAGGACATAACTTACTGAAAAGGACATACAGAACGATCACAGCGACTAATGATATAACTGTCAGTTGATTTTTTGTGTTCTACTTTCGTTTTGATAATCAATTTGTCATCCGACGCAACAAAAACCTTTGAATATGTAACTTTTCACACACAAGCGCCAAACGTAGTCTTCATGTCTAAATTTGCCTTAATAGGCAGCCCCTCAATGCCTTCTTTTTCTTGAGAGCAATATGTGTCCATATCCAGTACATTGTTCCCATTTATAATTAAAACGTTAACGTCTGTAGTGGTCCTCCATCTTGTTCCGTCATTGTGTTGAAAAATATGAATCTACGGTATGCCCTATATACACTTCCTACAACACGCTGAGCGAAGAAAAACTTTTGAGACGTTGCAGTTTTAAATAAATTTAGTAATTTAAGCAGTTTTTGATTATTAGAGATTGTAAAATTGAGAGCTTACTTTTTCAACAAAATTGATCGACTTTTGACTCCTTTCGATTAACAGAACACCACTAACTCATTGACAAAAGTGTTACTCTCTGAAAACTGTATACAGGGATAAACTTTGATTCAGCTTTAGTTTCTGTTTAACGTGACCATATTAGATAGGTGTTCATCTACATAATGTACAAGGTTTCATTTCTGACTTGTACATTTGTAGTACAAATGGAGAATATATGCTTGTCCTTGTATGAAGATTTCATGCAGAATAATTTAACTTTTTATTTTTTAGATGAAAATAAAGAGGGAACTCCGACAAATGGGTAATTATTTCTTTCCAGTGATATCTATTACAATAGAAACTTATATTATAGATATAATTCCCCCAGTTTCATTCAACATCCTGCTTATGATTGATTAGCACAAACATATAGTTCACAGTCTGCTTGAATTGATATGTTGCCAAAAATAGGATCAATGTCAAAAGCTGCCATTGTAGATTGGGTGTTATATCAAGTTTATTGTCAAACAATGCTTCTCATATGAAGTGGCTTCAAAATGGATTACATGTACTATTTGAGGTTTGTTTGTACATGTCAGAATAATTTCATACTCGCCACCTAGAGATAAATTACCTCCAGATTTAGTTAAAAGTGCCTGAAATTTTGTTCTGTATTTTGAGTTTGTATCCATCTTCATGATCATTGCATCAATTATTTAAATCAAGTTCTTTATTCTTCTTTGTGCTATATTTCCAAAATTGCAAATACGTATGTAACAGGATGGGAATATTACTATAATAACAAATGGTATCGTTAAAGTACTTGATGATAAGGCCAAATAAAAAAAATTGAGTTTCTGCTAAACCCTATCCGAAGCTACCTACCCTAGAATGTTGTGTCTACCCTGAAGTTTTATCGGCATTTAGTAATATGCACTGCATGTTAAAGTCAGAACTCCTGCTCTATATAAGTATAGTAAAAATATTTTCCAATATAAAAACAATTGCATACCTACCTACCTTTTTTTCTGTCGCATAGCTGAAACACAAGTAATTTTAAAATGATAAAAATCCTTGATTTTAAGCACTGCCTCCCTAATCTTTTCATATAAAAGTGACATGTTTTGCTACAAAAATGTATTGTAATTCAAAATCTGACTCGCAACATACACCAGTATAGCTGAATCATTCAATAACTTATTTGACAGCTGATCCCTCCCTAACACCTAGTTAATTATCAAACTTGTATTGTAGTGATGCTGCAGAGCCAGTAGAAGGTGCCAAAGATGAGAAAAAAGATGATAGAGAAGCAGGAGAGTTGGTAAGAATTGGTGATTATCAGATATTCTTTGAAATCGGTAGCCAGACTAGTATAGTTACACGATTCTGTGTATCTGGGTATGGGGGTAAATGCATTAGTGTAGTTTACTATATCTGGATACTGGGGGTAGACACACTTGTAAAGTTACGTGATATCAGGGTAGTCACACTAGTCTAAACTAATTACAGGGATCAAACCGTTACACTTACCAATGTTGATGTCTAGAGATAAAAAATGGGTATCAAAATGTAAGATGAATACCTTGAGGAGGGGTGTCAGGAAAAAAAACCACTTACTTACCTCATCTTTACAAATGTAAGGGAGCACACTCTTAAATAAATAATAATGATAGCGTTCTGTAATGGAATTCTTTTATATGATTATAAAAAGTGCAATGGTGCCTTTAATTTTGTGGTAACAGATATTGTTTTTATGCTTCCTATTCTCTAGATGAAATTCATTTGTAATTCTGAAATTAATGATGATCAACAAAAATTAATAAAGATAACATGGCAGAGTAATTTTCCAACTAAAATTGTAAAACTATCATTATAACAAAACTTACATTTAATGTTGCGTTTGCATATTATAAATGATAATACCGATAAAACAATGTTTTCCTTATTGACAACAAAATGAAAACAAAGTAATTCTATAACCTCATACCTTTATCACAAAGGTAGTGTCACTGATCTGTACTGATATTACTTTGTTTTACTTTATAGAGTGGTGAAGAGGAATCGCAGGAGAAAGATGACGATGATGATTCTGACGATGATGTTCAAGTGACAATTGGCGACATTCAGACATTTCCTCTTAACGAGTAAATCATTTGTTATATTTACAGTTATACGCTAGGGTTTTTAATTTGTTATAGTTACAGTTATACACTAGGGTTTTTAATTTGTTATAGTTACAGTTATACGCTAGGGTTTTTAATTTGCACTAATGAGTACACTTGTGTATCCCAATCCCAATGTATCACTAAGAATGCTTTAATATGAAATAATGCACAATGGACAAATTTTTCCAGGATTTGTAATTTCTTTTGATGAAGTGAATGTAAAAGAATCGGAGAAGGCAACCGAGAATTGTGATTTGCCATTTCAGCTGAAACTCTTTTTGTTCAAATTGGTAAACCTCTGGCAAATGTTTGTTCTCTGATAACTCCATGTTGATTTGAAAGTTTTCTGACATTATGAAATGTCTTCTGCATCAGAATGCTACTGGCTACGGAGACAGTAACACATGTTTTATAAACTCATCTTTAGATGGATTGTGAATTTACAATATTGATGAATATTTTAGAATGTTTGAGATAAGGTTATTGCACTTAGATGCATAAAAGAAAAATGTTGAAAAAAATACATGTATTTGTACTTATCCACATACTTTTATTCCTTACCTATTTTTCATTTAAAAAATACTTAATTTATTGTAAATTATTTGTTAACCATTGACTGTAGTAATCAGATCAATACTCCTATAAAGATTTTTGATCCTTTTATCTTTTATTGATCTTTTCTTTATTTCAGAGCTCCCAGAAATTTATTCAAAGCACAAAGTGGTTACCAAAAACCAGCTGGGGCAGGTAAGTAACAAAGACATACGAGTTTGTTATCAAGACTTAGTCACATAGACCTTGCTTTATGATCACACAATGTTTCCTGGCAAGGCACAAGTTGTGCAATCTAATGGTGATTATGATTGATGGAATCTTATAGTTAATGTTGACCAAAGAAATCCAAACAGGGAAAATCAGTGGTGATTGACTGTTTATACTAGTGTTACGTTTTGTAATATTAACCCACTTTGTTACTTTTTGTAATAATTCCGCCGCTGCCACCAGTTCAAATTACCTGAACAACACAATAAGTACATTGATATTTACACTTTATTTACAACACAAGTATTTTTATCCGTCATAGAATATACAAGTGTTCACCATTGTGAACGCAATCTCTCAACTCCAAGCTAATCTCCTACTATCAACTGTAAAACTTCACAGACGTAAGACTACAGCTAAAACTACTATTCTGACTAACTTCCTAATTCTTCAACTAATCAACTTTCTAACTCTCCTCTATGTCTCTAGACCTCTCAACTCGGTCTCCCTAACTAAACCTTCTCTCTCCAACTCTTTAACTCTGCTCCTCTATTCCAACTCTCCAATTCTACTCCTCTATTCCAACTCCCTAACTCTACTCTCTTTCTCGAAAACTTAACTACCTTATTATCTGTCCCCTTAGTAAAATCCTGCTTTTGTTGATAAGTTTTCAAAATCCTGCTTTTGACCCCTACACGACTAGGTAAAACTGCAGTCAGCATCAGCCAGTGGCGGAGGCACACACACTACGTCAAAGATTAGACTCCCCCACCCCCCACCCCACCTAGACTACAGACGGTCACACTAATCTACAGATCCTAAACTATATCACAAGCACAACTATCTATGGCTACTTAGCTACTATCTTCAAATAAAACTCTGACACTGACCACGAGCCAAGGCTAATAAAATGCGTAGCAAATCATCGTTACGCTTTGAACAATTTAATGGCTACTAAATGCATAACACTAGCATAGCCTATTATCAGAATTGTGAAATTGAGTGAATGTCACTGCCGAGTGCTGAATATGTACAACTCCTACAAAAAAAGGTTGAAAGTATTAAGTATTTTTCACATGCTGTAGTAAATGATATTGTCATTGTGTATGTTAATGTCATCAATCTTATCAAATTAGAGCAAAAAGAGTTGGAAGAGAAAATTTGTTACCAAATTTCTTATATTCCTATGTATCTGATATCTCCCAGTTCGGGATCAAGATTTCTGAAACTGATACTGTTTCTCTGTTAAGTTGTATATTCAGTATGATACACCTAACAATAATTACAATGGTACAACATAGTTCTCACCTGTTTCTCTGCAATACAAATTGTGAATGTTTATCTTTAGCGGCCGCTGCAAAGTCTCAGAGTGGCACAGGAACCACTGTGAAAGGTGTGGACCTTGATACTCCGGGAAACATCAATGGAGTGAACCAGTACGAATTTGATCTGGACGGATTACAAGCTGATGAGAAGCCCTGGAGGAAACCAGGTATTTATTTTTCAACTTTACCAATTCACCAATATTTCATGAGATTGTTGCCCTTTAATGTGATTAAAGAAAGGTAAATTCATTCATTTGTCGTTGTTTAGGTGCGGACATCACTGATTATTTCAACTATGGCTTCAATGAAGACTCGTGGCGTATGTATTGTGAAAAGCAGAGACGAAACCGAATGGAGGCCAACCCAGGAACAGTCACTAGAATTTACGTAAGCAAAGCCAGAAAATGTGTTACCTTGAACAATTACATGCGGCATTGTTGATAGCAGAATCAGCTGGTCGGGTCCGAGGATCATATCCAGAACCATAACAAGAACAATGGCACTCTGGTCACAATTTGAGGGATACCTAGATCCTTGCTGATCTGGTCACCTCCTCAGGGAATATCCAGAACCATGCCAGTCTGGTCACCTCGTGGAAGAATATATAGAACATAATATATATATCACACGTAAAGACCTATCAATACCTATTGCTCTGATAATCTGTTTATAAACAGGCAATACAGTGGGACTATTCAGTCCCCATAGGACAATTTTACTCAGTGAAGCTTAAAGATTACTTAACTCAGGACTGATGATGAACAGTCTGCGTATTATGTATACCCAAAAACTTCATTGTGTCTGACTTTTAATATACAAAAAGTTGCTGAGTACATTGTAGGGAAGTGATTTCTCTGGAGCAATTTTTCTTTGTCATATATTTCAAATGTTTCCTTGCCTGGGATGAAGTAAATATTGTGTTATTGATTGTGGTTTGCTTTTTGTCTAATTTAGTAAAAATATCAAAAATAGGTAAAAATAACTCAAAAGGAATGAGAAAAGAACCACTTTACAAGCAAAGAACCACTTTACAAGCATATATATGTACCTATTCATGACCTTATTTATAAAATATAATACTTTCTTCTGCAGAATGATCTCTCCCGTTTACCTTCTCCGTTGATCTTTTCAAGGCCTTTATACAGTAGAAAAGTGACAATACATGTAGTAATATTCCATTCTTAAAAACAAGTTTTGTGTTTTACCATTCAGGTTTGTCCTCCAACATTGTCTGAATGGCTAGCAATGAAACATATTTTTGTCTGTTTCCTTGTTTAGGTTCATCAATCTGCATCATCTATGAATAGAAATGAAAAGAAGGATGCATTACACCCTCCAGGTTTGTAACCAATATTTAAGTATGAACAATTCTGACTACATATAAAATTTTGTTCTTTAGCCTATTGTACAAATGTTAACTGTTTTACATCATACCACTATAAACATATAAATTCCCCTCTCCCACCGTCTTCCACCATATTATATATATTCTATATGTTCCTATCTGGAAAAGCTGCGATTGAAAATGTTGTAACCTGTTAAACTACTTATTAATAACAATTAGTTGGATAGATGTTTTTCCTTGTGCACTTTTCAAGTTCCAAGAATCAGATAATATGTTAATTTATATTATATCAATTATTTTTAGTGGCGTATATGATTATGATAATTTGCTGCTTTTATCAAAAGATGTATACCTGAACAAGATAACATATTACCTAAATCAATGATTTCTTCTGAAGTTTTAGTAACCACATAATTTAAGATTAATCGGCCAATTTTAACAAATAGTGCATGTATACGCTTTGTGACAACAGGTACAGAAACTCCACAGACCGTGCCTGTGATTGGCTCTCGTGGTAAGACCAACCCAACACCCAGAAAGATGGCCGGGACCATTGATGTTATTGGCAGCACAGCCAGAGACTCGAGACGTCCAGACGCTTCATCTATGGGAGACCCAATACCAGTGGCTGGGTAATTTGTTAAAGCCTTGTAATCTATAAATAGTAGGAATGTGTTCTTAGTGGAGAAAGGGTGATCAGACACTCCCACATTTCCCCTGTAAAGTAAACATCTGTGCTAAGTAATCTCTGGTTTTATGATGTTTCATTAGATTTAGTTATAGATGTATGTCTTGTTTAATTTTCGAATCATATTTTTCTTTAAAAGTCTCAAAAAAATAGGATTTTTAGGTCACCTGAGCTTTAGCTCAAGTGACCTATTGCTATCCGTGTTCGTCCGTCGTCGTCCGTCGTCCGTCGTCCGTCGTCCGTTAACATTTTACGTTTCAAACTTAAAGTCAAGTTCTGCTGGGCTGATTGAACTAAAAGTTGGTAGGAATGATCGCCTCATGGTCCTGACAAAGTGTTGTTATTTTTTGGGTCAATCAGAAATCCAATATGGCCACCACGGCCGCCATTTTGAAAAACTATTTCAAACTTAAAGTCAAGTTCTGCTGGGCCGATTGAACTGAAAGTTGGTAGGAATGATCGCCTCATGGTCCTGACAAAGTGTTGTTATTTTTTGGGTCGATCAGAAATCCAATATGGCCACCACGGCCGCCATTTTGAAAACCTATTTCAAACTTAAAGTCAAGTTCTGCTGGACCGATTGAACTTAAAGTTTGTAGGAATGATCGACTCATGGTCCTGACAAAGTGTTGTTATTTTTCAGGTCAATCATAAATCCAATATGGCCGCCACGGCCACCATTTTGAAAACATATTTCAAACTTAAAGTCAAGTTCTGCTAGGCCGATTGAACTGAAACTTTGTAGGAATGATTGACTCATGGTCCTGACAAAGTGTTGTTATTTTTCAGGTCGATCAGAAATCCAATATGGCCACCACAGCTGCCATTTTGGTAAACTATTTCAAACTTAAAGTAAAGATCTACTTGGCCGATTGAACTGAAACTTTGTAGGAATGATCGAATCATGGTCCTGACAAAGTGTTGTTATTTTTCGGGTCAATCAGAAATACAATTTGGCTGCCATGGCCGCTATTTTGCTACTAAGTTCTAATAGGCCGATCTCACTTAAAATTGGTCTAGGAATGATCAGCTCATGGTCCTGACAAAGTTAAGTTAACATTATACTATTTTTTACTCAAATTGGTACATATTTCAACAACAAAAATAAATATTGTAGGACTCAGGTGACCGTTAAGGCCCATGGGCCTCTTGTTTTCTACAGTCCAGGTTTCGTGATTGTCATTTAATCAATAAAATCTTAAATATGTTTATGTTTTCAGTAGCAGGAAGTCCTACAACACCTCTGTGCCTCCCCCGGGTATATCTGTACACCCCACCCAGGGGATGCCCCCCATGCCTGACTACTCCATACCCCCTCCGGGCATGACTCTGCCACCAGGCATGCATCCTCCTCCAGGTAGGTAGTTCAATTACAGCCGGAAAAGAAAAGAATCAATCTAACAATAAAGATCTCATCGTGTGTTGTTATTTATTTCATTGACGTACACTATACCAACATAAAAGAAATGGCAAAATATATTTTTATCATACATTCTTTCACATTGATTATGTGCTCAATTATGATATCAGTTTGCAAATGTCAGTGTGTGTATATCAACAACTGCCAAAATAGATTAAACATTTTGTTATTAGCTCACCTGTTCCAAAGGACCATGGTGAGCTTATGCCATACCGCAGCGTCCGTCGTTCGTCCGTCAACTTTTCCTTTAAAACGCTACTAGTCCTGAGCGGCCAAGTAGACTTTGACTAAAGGACTATGTATGTTTTGGCCCCCAAATGCATCAAAATTTAAAACCTCGAAATTACTGTTTCTTTAATTACAAATACTTCCCAAATACTATTATGAAAACATTTATTTATATTTCTAATTATTGTTGCCATGGTAACAAGTTCAAATTTGGATAAATTAGAAAAATTTGAATATTCAGTGAATATTGTGATATTTTGCATAGTTTTTCTCCTAGAAACTATAGAGCGCATGCTTGAACAAACTTATTATCAAAGGATAATGTGTAGGCACCTGTAATACATCTTCAGGAGAAATGTCAAAATTGACTGAATAATAATCAAATTTCAATCATTTATACAAATGTGACCTGGTTACCATGGCAGCCAAAATTGAAAACACAAATAAATGTTTACATAATAGTACTGGGGAAGTATTCAAAATTAAAGAAACACTCGTTTGAAAGTTCTATTGCAGATTTTTAATTTTGATGGATTTGGGGGCCAAAAAAGGCCGAAACCATACATAGTCCTTTGGTCTGGAGCATCCTTAGGCCAAGGGGACTCAATTTTGTATAAATGGTGGGTGTGGCCCCCCTGGGGGCAGAGGGGCGGGGCCCAATTGGGAAAATAGAGGTAAAACCTTTAAAATCCTATTTCTACCGTAGGGATTCAGGGATTTTTTCCTAATTTAGTCTGGAGCATCCTTGGGCCAAGGGGACTCAATTTTGTATTAATGGTGGGTGTGGCCCCCCTTGGGGCAGAGGGGCAGGGCCGAATAGTGGAAATAGAGGTAAAACCTTCAAAATCCTTCTCCTACTGTAGGGATCAAAGGATTTTATCCTAATTTAGTCTGGATCATCCTTTGGCCAAGGGGACTCCATTTTGTATAAACCGTGGGTCTGACCCCCCAGGGGCCTGAGGGGTGGGGCCCAATAGGGGAACATAGCAAATTATTCTTTAAAATCCTTCTTCTTCTGTAGGAATGAAAGGATTTGGTCCATATTTGGTATGGAGCATCCTTGGGTTAAGATGAACCAATTTTGTACAAACGGTGGGTGGGGGCTGAGGGACGGGGCCCAATAGGGGAAATATAGCTAATTCTTAAAAATCCTTCTTCTGTAGATATGGAAGTAAAACCTTTAAAATCCTTCTTCTACCATAGGGACTAAGGGATTTTATCCTAATTTAGTCTGGAGCATCCTTGGGCAAAAGGGACTCAATTTCAAATAAACAACGGGTGTGGCTCCTCTGGGGGCAAAAGGGAGGGGCCCAATAGGAGAAATATAGGAAAAACCTTTAAAATCCTTCTTCGACCATCGGGATTAAGGGATTTTATCCCCCTGGGGCATAGGGGTGGGGCTCTATTTGAAATTTGTTATATCTCAAGTGCTATATCTTTACTTCATACCAATTATTTTAAACATATTCAGGTGAGCGATACAGGCCCTCTGGGCCTCTTGTTGTTATATCGGTGATGTTGACATGTATTTTTTAGAGGCTTTTACCCATATATATCCCTACGCTAGTAGAAGGATCTGTTGTGACCATTTTCTGATATTATTACACAATCTTTATCGGTATAACCTTACTTTACAGGGCCAGCACCCCCGGGTGTTCCTCCTGGTATACCACCCCCAGGATTTCCTCCAGTGGAATTTGATGGTAAGGAAGTAACATTTTGTAGGGGAGCACTGACTTGCTGTCGTTCAGTATTACCACTTTATTCCTAACTAAAATATTAAGTTCTGAGACGTTTGGATAGGAAAATGCTAGATAATTGCAAACTTTAATGTGAATTCCTCTCAATAACATAAACTGTTTGTAACATCAAATTGTTGTATTAAAAAGTAATGTAATGCATGTATGAACAGACACAACAATTTTCTGTCAAAATAAAACACTTATATGAGGCCCCAGGGCTGTAACCAGAAATTATCTTTCAGTTAACAGGTTAAATACTATCAAAAACAAAAATACTATCTTGTTTACATGTGATACTTATGTTGGGTAACTGGCAATATTACATGACATTAACAGGAGTTTATATAGCAACACATCAAACAATCTAAATGACATGCACTATAAAAAGGGGTGCTCAATGATACGACATTATTACATGTAAACAAATCTGATATTAATTTGATTCCTTGGTATGTGTTTTCCAGCCTACTACCCGCCCACAGGTCAGACTTCTGTTAGGTAAGTAAATGTTGACTAATATCAATGTGAAAACTGAGGAGTACAATAATGATCATGTCTTATAACCTGTCATGTTCATTACATTACGATAGAATGATCTCATCATTAGTTTTACTATTAACTGTGTATGTCATGTCTTGCTTCTATTACAAACACACATTGATAATTTTTTCTTGGTTCCATGGAGGTGCTGAAGTTAAACAAGATATATAAAATTATTTTTAAACTTTACTTGCAGTCACTATGATGACCGGAATTTTTCATCCCATCCAACTTTCCCATCAAACTACAATCAGGCAAATCCCTGGGAAAACAAGTAAGTATACAGCACATAATGTCTGAAAACAGGTAAAAACAGGTAAGTGTAGTATGCAGAATATCTGTGAAAACCGGCATAAAGTGTAATCCACTGAATATTTAGGGGTTATTAAACATATTTCAAGGAGAAGAATTTAGTATAATGTAGTAAAATCTACCTGATTCCCAGAATAGCAATGAAGTATGCTCAACATTTCCACCTTTAACTACAATTAGTCCAATCCCTGAGATACCAAATGGAGAACCTTGAGTGGCATTGATTTAATCTGGTGTGTGATGTTTGGAGGAAAGACTGTCCTTGGATGAGAGTGAGTGTAAGTTCATTGTACATAAATTGAGATCATCTCTTGCGACTGTGTACTTACTGAAATTGTGAGAAACGGTTCACATTACACTACTGACTCACGCCCAGTGTGTACAGATCCTGACGTAAGTGAGGAATAGATTTCCAACCATTACTTTTACTCGGTTCAACACACCTTTGTTTTATGTTACAGTCGCCAGGAAGGTTACCGATGGGGAAGTGACTACAGCAGGGAGCGTAGTCCAGCGAGATCCGAGTCAGAATATAGCAGGTTGGTAAAAGTGGCATTTCAATAAAGGTCTACTTCACATAACAGCTGATTTAGCAGAAGAGATTCATTCTGGTTGAAACACAATCATATCAAAGGCTTCTTACCACAATTACAGCATCAGAAATCCAATATGTTGTATATATTGAATCAGTGTACATATACTAAATTCATTTTTGGCTTTGAACTGGGGATATATTGGTATTGGTGTGTAATTTCTATCCCTGATGGAATTTCTGCCGCTTTACACGATAGCTGAATACTGCAATAAGTTGGTACGGAATAATTTGTTTACAAATGTTGTTATGATTTGTGGAGATAGAAAGTTGTTGTGTCTATTGATACCTTTTATAAGTTAAACTAAATCTTCTCTGTTAAAAATTAATGGTGTTCCTTATATGTGTCGAATAGCCCTCGCAGTGACCGAGACCATAGTAGTTATGGTCGAGATCGTCGGCGTGAACACAACAGGTTGGTCTTATTTACCTGTGGTTTGGTCTTATTTACCTGTGGTTTGGGGTTATTTACTGGCGTCTGGGGAGACTTGTGGAATAGGGTTGCTATCACATGATTCCTGAAAAAATGTGTTATTAACTACAACAGATTACATTTTAAAATATAAAACTACAAAATAGGTGTGTTATGAAACATATGTACGCTTATTGAAATCAAAATCATGAACTGTTTTCTTATTGATGGGCTAGTACAGTTAGTGACTTGGCTCCATAACACTGTTTCATGGAAGAAATATTGTCAGCAATTCAGGTTAAATTGTTGATTAAATTTGGGAACATTTTGGTTTTTATGAGATTTCTAACTAGTCCACGTTCGATTCATTAAGTAAAATGGTGTACTGGTTTGATAGACTGAGACCTCAGCATGTTTTAAATTACAGGGAGAGGTAAACTGCATGCTATTAGTAAATGCTATTTTGTTTTAGCTTACCTGGTCACACAGATGTACACAATGTACAAGATTTTGTTAGGGATTAACGCTTCCTTTATTAGATTTCATGGGGTGATGATGTGAGTAGGTCTTGAGAAAAATTAAAGAACTGCAAAGTATTGTATGTTGAATGGTCTCAAGGCCAACTCACTTCATCACCCCGTGAATTTGACCAATGCAAGATTTGATCCTTTTATTTCAATGGCAGCCTACCGCATTACGTCCCTTTATAGTTGGCCGCTAATAAACATTGGCGCTGTCTGTCAACGGTAGTTCCGGTTTGAGCTCGTACGCACCGTTCCAATGTAAACAATCCGAATATTGCGTGACTATTAACGTCTATGTTTAATCATCATGTAGGAGTTTGTGTGTAAATGGTTAAATGTGTTGTGTTGCATATATTCGTTTTGTATTAGCAGACATGTAATCGTTTTGATACATTTGTCAACATTTTTCTCGAGGGAATCCCTGCTGTACTGTACAGTAACCACACCACAGGGGTTCGTTATAAATGTCTGAAATACACATGTACATATTTTATGCTGTACTGATATGGGTCATAGCATACATAAACTTTGTGTTGTTATCCATATCAGTAGCATATGTGTATTTCAGACATTTGTAACGAACCCCTTTGCAATAAGTTAACTTCTAAACACCGACTTGGGAAATGGATCCCTCTACTCCAGGGCCTAGAAATATGTTATGTGTCCGAGTGATCAGCCTATTACGTAATCATAAGTGACACACCTGTACTATAGTGTTTGCCGGCGACGCACATAACCGTGGATAATGAAGTCAAATTAAAGGTCTTCATGCACTTTTACTTGTGAGAGAGAGAGAGAGAGAGAGGGGGGGAGGGTAACAAAGCACATGGGTTAGTTTTATGCTTAACTGATATGGGTCACACAGCATAAAGCTATCATAATCAGTGACTTTAAATGTGAATTTTGGGTCTTTTTATTTTTAAACATGCATATTTGTTTATATGTACTGTGACAGTAAAGTGTGTATTTTAGTCATTTGTAAAAGAATAAACTGTGATCTGAGCAAGAAAATATTTTGATATCCAAGTTAATAGATATTTATTGAATCATTACTAACTGTTGAACAGAAAATTATATGTACATGTCAAGATGTATTTAACTGTGTGATTCACAGTTGCTTCTGTAATTATCCATAGACAAATGTAATATCTAACATCTGTGGAGAGGTCACATTTGATTGAAAGTCAACTTTATTTACATCCCAATTGTTGCTCAGAATAATTTTGAGAAGATGATGCACTTTTAACAACTGGCAACTGTGATTTACCTGTACAGTACAGTTCAACCATACAAGTTCCAGAGGAGTCATCCACTTTTCTTTCCACTCAAACATCTGAACTTAGTTACTTACTAAGTACAACTTGTCAAGTGTATACATGTATTTATTGATGTCTAAACTCAGTTCACAACATGTAGTGACGTACAAGAAAATACACATATCAACTTTGAAATATGCACACATTTAACATATTTGTCATCAATATAAAATTATCTATTTTGATGAGCTCACTAACAAAGTAACTTCTCTAAGAGATATAATGGGTTCTCAAAAAGTAAGCCAGGTCACACAAAAGAAAGAGTCCAGGAATCAAATATCCAATAAAAAAACATCAATATGACAAATCAAATCAAATAAAAACACAATTAAGTTTGATTATAGATATCTTGACTCATATCCTAAAGTTTATTTCCTGAAATGAAAAAAAATATCATGGATGTTATAAATACACTTTTTACACATGTCATAACACACAATATCAATATACATGTACATTATAATAACTAAGATGAAATGAGTATCTCATATGATAAGATTTTTTTTTTTACAAGTTATTACATACAAAGTTCTGTGTCCCTCTAATAACATTAAACAAGGGTTTGTCAATATCTGAAACTACCTGAGTTACACATACATTTAAGTCATTTAGGTTTTCTTGTTTTCAAATAAACATTTGACAAAAATTCTTTTTAAAATGTGTCCAGTTCTTCAATATTGATGCTTAACTATTTTCAATTTTGACTTCTAAAAGGTATTAAATCAATATTGTGATATTATCATTCTCTTATATGGCCTGCTTCTCAATATATATATATAACAAAGTATGAAAATACTTGATCAGTGATACCTAGTAACTTTAACTCTATAAAAAAAACCATACATATTAGTTTTACCAATAGTTGTTGAAACAGACAATACACCCATCAAGTGTTTTGAAATTTTAACATCCCAAAACCTATTACAAAAATCACACATAAGTCAACATTGTTATAGTTAATTTGCACGGTCTAATGGAATGCAAATGTACATACATGTACTGATACACAATTAATTTAACATTATATACCTGAGCCATCTTGGACATCAGTAGACCCAACAATGAGCTTTGACTCGAGTTTGCAAAGATATGTCTATTTAGAATGTGTTTGACTCCTCAGATTTAGGGAAAAGATTATTTGAAATGACTTAATGTCAAGGGTCAACTGAAAATCTGTTCATCTTAAATATTCAAGGGATTTTTGTTGAACAAAATCATTACAGTAGTGATTCTGTAATATGAAGTAATCTAGAAATTTTAAGTACAGGACATTGCAGACAGTATAATTCACTTCAGTAAGAGCTCGTACAAATTTGTCATGGCACAACATATCATAATTATTTGTTCAGCTAAATGAACTTCAGTAAGTGGTAGCACAGATTGTAATATCTTGAAGTTCTTGATTTGCTCCATTTTCATTTCAACAACAATCCTCGGAGCAGCAATTTGTTGAGTTTTAAAGAACTCCTGTACACTCATCTGACAATTAGATCATACAAATGGTGGCGTATTTAGTCCTATATGTGCAGGAAGTAAATCTCCAACAGTAAAGCCTTTGTATGCAAGAATAACATCTCGAGGTTCTGACGTTGGTAAGAAGAGGTCACCATCTTTTTGCACAATATGTCTGCTATCTGATACATGCCCACCCCAAATCCTTTACACAAATGTTACTAGACCATTGGGTGCAACTCCAATTAAACCTTTATAAGTGTTCTGGTGTTTGTATTCACTCCATGTAAGAAATTAAGCCTCTATGTTTCCGTGTTTCTTGCAGAAGAATTATGTTGCATCTATAACTATACGAAACTGAGCCATTTCTGTAAAATGTTTAGGCAAATTGCTTAAAATTTGTTCTCTTGATGGCCATGGGATAAGTGACTTGCATGTAATCAAACATAAAATTAATCCATATATTAATGATTCGAGATACTGTCTTAACAGACACACTAAATAAATCTGCAAGAAACTTTTGCCAGGTTTCTAAATTTTTTGGTTGAAATATTTTCTGTCTTTTGCAGGTAGTGGAGTGCTTTTTCCCCTTTCCCAGTAGGTCAACTATTCTGCACCATGCTTACAAAAAGTAGTAAAAAGCAGTAAAAATGTTGCATAATTTGTATAACCAGTATAATATTTTGTCTTCTCATCATCGTTTTCAATAATCTCTGGTTTAAAAATAGGAACAACTGTCTGTGATGCAGATGATTTCATACATTTGGCCTTATTTAATTGTGTCTGTGTAGCATCATCTCTTACATTTACATCTGATGTCTAGACATATATGGAATCCCCAACTATAGGGTCAGTCTGTGTTTCAGAACTCTCCTTTTAAGACAAGGAACTAATAGTAGTAGATATACATGATGTATCCTCACAGGGAATGTTTTCAGTATTCTCAAATTCAGAATGACTATTTTCCTGGGTGTAGTCAGATACCTTGTTTGCATATATTATTTTCAAAATGTAAATTGCGAAGTCTAGAGTTTGAGCCAATTGGAGTATCTGGTCGCACAAGTTTGATTTTTTGAATCCACAATGATCTTGGTTTTTTTTTATCAGCACTGTCACCTGATGGAATGCAATGAGGTTTTATAGTTGTATCATCCTCACAATTTTTTTCCTGCATAATTGAAGCACAGTAAACAATATCTTTTTCCTCCCTTGACAGTGATAGAATCTGAAACCATATAATGGGATTTATCATGATATTGAGTTTTTTACTGGTAATGTTTTAATATTTTTTCACAAGAATAGATTACACATTTAAACCTGCACATCAACATGGACAAGTGTTGTGATACTATTCCAAAAAGGAAGGATTTCTTGTTTTATACAAAAGAAATTAAAAGTATATCGAGAAATGATTCAAATCTCTGAAGTAGTGTCTGATTTTCATTTTGTAATCATTGGATCAGACAAACACAGGTGAAAGCATTCTAAAATTAGATTTGTTAACCTATGCATGATTTTACTGTGACTGGGATTACAATAGTATGTTTTATCAAATTATAAACAAAAAAAAGAGAACCCATTTTAATAAATGTTATTTACAAATGTAGTGTATAATCTCTTTTTTCTTGTTACAGTGAATGGTAAACCGTTTTTATTATTGTTATTTCCTTAAAAGACCTTTTTTAACTTACCTGTGTACCCATCAGTGTTTTCTGTCTATGTGAATCCAGCCCCCCTCTCTAAAAAAGTGCGATCGTTCAAAATATACTTATGAAAAATTCCCGAAAAACACTGCCAATATACACCAATATGTACTGTAAGAGTGGAGAAATTGTTGGTTATCGGACGACAATAACATAAAAATATGTTTAGTGCGATCATGGGTTCTTACAGAATAGTCCCGGTGGGAGTAAAGCGTTTTTGTTTTGCCGAAAAAACGTATCTGGATAGTGTCCATAACGTTACATTTACACCTTGATATAAAGACGGGCCTATTTCACAGAATGATTTTTTTTTAAATGTGGAAGCTTTCCTCAAAGAATAAGGAAGTTTTCCTTTATCGTCCATGTTATCTGCTCGATCATCTTAAAATCTTTGATATTAAATGGCAACCCCGCATTATGATGGTCCTATGTCACCATATATGTCATCAAAACGACATTTATAGATTGACACACTGAAGATGTCAACACCCTCACAACGTAGACGCCGAACCTTAGTTACACCGGAACTACCTTACGCGCGTCAGCAACTTTTGTCACAAGTGTGGTGGTGTTTGAGGCGCGTCAAAGGGACGTAATGCGGTAGGCTGCCATTGACAGGTGCTTTACAATAATTTGAACTTGTGCAGATCTATATAGTTTGTCATTGAGGCTGGGGCTTGTGCAAGTCTATGTATTGAATTAATGTGAAAAAGATAGTACATCATTGGAGGGCCATCATACTGCTATATAGTGTAAGCTGATACTTCAAAACAGCGATATTATAATATAATAATAAGATACATCAACATATTATGAATGTCATAAATAATTGTATTTTAATAAATCTTGAAAAATTGGAAAATATGTATTAAAATGCACAGGCAATTAAATCTGGTCAACATCCAGGGCAAATTAAACAGAGAAGATTTGTAAGTCATTGAGTCATGAGTAGAATTTTAAATATTTCATGTTGGTATTGACTACATACATATTCAGTATATGTAGATATATGCTAAATATTGGTTGTCTTAGCACTGATAGGTACCTGTGGTGGTTGATATGGACTACATACATGTTCAGTGTATGTAGATATATGATAAATATTGGTTATCTTAGCACTGATAGGTACCTGCGGTGGTTGATATTGACTACATACATGTTCAGTATGTAGATAAATGCTAAATATTGGTTAACTTAGCACTGATAGGTACCTGTGGGGGTTGATATTGACTACATACATGTTCAGTGTATGTAGATATATGATAAATATTGGTTATCTTAGCACTGATAGGTACCTGCGGTGGTTGATATTGACTACATACATGTTCAGTGTATGTAGATATATGATAAATATTGGTTATCTTAGCACTGATAGGTACCTGCGGTGGTTGATATTGACTACATACATGTTCAGTGTATGTAGATATATGATAAATATTGGTTATCTTAGCACTGATAGGTACCTGTGGTGGTTGATATGGACTACATACATGTTCAGTGTATGTAGATATATGCTAAATATTGGTGATCTTAGCACTGATAGGTACCTGTGGTGGTTGATATGGACTACATACATGTTCAGTGTATGTAGATATATGATAAATATTGGTTATCTTAGCACTGATAGGTACCTGTGGTGGTTGATATTGACTACATACGTGTTCAGTATGTAGATAAATGCTAAATATTGGTTAACGTAGCACTGATAGGTACCTGTGGTGGTTGATATTGCCTACATACATATTCAGTATATGTAGATATATGCTAAATATTTGTTGTCTTAGCACTGGTAGGTACCTGTGGCGGTTGATATTGACTACATACATGCTCAGTATATGTAGATATATGCTAAATATTGGTTATCTTAGCACTGATAGGTACCTGTGGTGGTTGATATTGACTACATGCTCAGTATATGTAGATATATGCTAAATATTGGTTGTCTTAGCACTGATAGGTACCTGTGGTGGTTGATATGGACTACATACATGTTCAGTGTATGTAGATATATGCTTAATATTGGTTCTCTTAGCACTGGTAGGTACCTGTGGTGGTAGATATTGACTACATACATGCTCAGTATATGTAGATATATGCTAAATATTGGTTATCTTAGCACTGATAGGGACCTGTGGGGGTTGATATTGACTACATACATGCTCAGTATATGTAGATATATGCTAAATATTGGTTCTCTTAGCACTTGTAGGTACCTGTGGTGGTTGATATGGACTACATACATGTTCAGTGTATGTAGATATATGATAAATATTGGTTATCTTAGCACTGATAGGTACCTGTGGTGGTTGATATGGACTACATACATGTTCAGTGTATGTAGATATATGATAAATATTGGTTATCTTAGCACTGATAGGTACCTGTGGTGGTTGATATTGCCTACATACATATTCAGTATATGTAGATATATGCTAAATATTGGTTGTCTTAGCACTGATAGGTACCTGTGGTGGTTGATATTGACTACATACATGTTCAGTATGTAGATAAATGCTAAATATTGGTTAACTTAGCACTGATAGGTACCTGTGGTGGTTGATATTGACTACATGCTAAATATTGGTTATCTTAGCACTGATAGGTACCTGTGGTGGTTGATATTGGCTACATACATGTTCAGTGTATGTAGATATATGCTAAATATTGGTTATCTTAGCACTGATAGGTACCTGTGGTGGTTGATATTGACTACATGCTAAATATTGGTTATCTTAGCACTGATAGGTACCTGCGGTGGTTGATATTGACTACATACATGTTCAGTGTTTGTAGATATATGCTTAATATTGGTTCTCTTAGCACTGGTAGGTACCTGTGGTGGTTGATATTGACTATTCATAGAACTGTTGATCCTTTACGACAATTTCCCGTTCTAGTGCCTGCTATCATAGCTGTCAGATAATATCTGATAGAGCAAATATTTTAAGGTTAATTGTAAGAAGGTGTTTTCAAGTAGAAAAAATAATATGTACCAGGTAATAGAATGAAATCTCCCACTGTGGAAGAGATTCTTGATTGTCAAAACTGAGGCAAGGGTTACACATTCAAAAATCTCCCTCAAGGAGGGTGGAGATTACTCTTTCTTTTCCTCTCCCATTTTCCCTGAAACAGAATAAATAAAAACAATGAAACACATACAGGCTATGTAAATCATTGACAATTCTTTTTAGTTTAATGTGTGTGTCTACATAATGACAATACTATTAGGATGACTTATGTGGAAATGCATTATAACTACCCAAAAAAGAAACAGATTTATTGCTAATTAATTACGCATTACTTGGCCTATAAACTACATTGCGGTACACACATGTTTAACTTATGGTTTGGCATGCACTATTCTTTCTGATTATCTGGCCAGGGTATGAATTTCAAAGAAAATTCTTTTCATACCTGGAAGTGTGGGTATATATCTGATTCACTGTCAAATGGAAGAGAAACTTGGTTACCCTGTCTGTCAGCTTTACATGTGGTGATTATAATTACTCATTACATTTAAGAGGCAAGATTCAAAATTTATTATAAATTCGATATGGAGATATATTTTTTGAAATAATAAATGGAAAGTGGTGGATAATGTTGAGATGGTTCATTCGAAATTTCACATAATTTTTCAGCTTTTGTTTTTGGTCGGAATAATCCAAAACTATTCCTCACATTTTCTTACTGCTGAAAGATTTCCAGCCTTATGCTTTAAACTGTTTTTATTTTAAATAAAGAATTGAATAGCTTTCTAGTCAATATACTACTTGTATTTCACTCATATGCAAATGACTGAATATGAATGAATATTATACGCTTTGGCGTTGTACCCATAAAAAATGTATTCTACCATACCAATTACTTATGTTTTGTTTTCAACAGGAAAGCCAGTAAATATACCGGGTTTTTTGTGCTTTATTTATGATGTGTTTATATGGTTATACTGATCAAACTTTAACAGTAAAGTTTCTATAATATCAGGGATACATACTGGAGAGACCGAGGTGATCGGGACACCTACAGAGAGCGTGACAGGTCAAGGTCACGTGAACGAGATAGGTCTAGAGATCATCGCCATAGAGATGAAAAACACAGATCAAGAAGGTGATGTATAATTTTCGTATGCTTCATTATTTTAGATTGATATTCTTTTATTAGACAACTGTCATCTCTCACTGTAAGTGGTAAAATAAGCTATATATGATACTATTATAATAAGTAACACAAAAGGTGAACAAACATCTACTTTCCACTAATTCGCTCTGTGTAAATTTTCAAGAATGATAAAAGAGTTGAAGATAAAAAGGAATTGGCCTTTTTGACAGTATGACGTCACTGAGATACAGATTATTTGAAGGTGTTTAACAACTGTCCATTGCCTCCTCTCTCTGACAGGAAGCACAGAGAGGACGAGGATTCTGATCACCATCGCTCCAAGCACAAGAAAAGTAAGAAATCTAAGAAAGACAAGGATGATGATGCTTATGACCCATCTAACCCCAGCCAAGACGACAATGCCAAGGGAGATTAGGGAGGCTGACATGCTAGAAAAATCTCATCTCGCTGAAAAATCATGTCAAGTTTTCATATACTTTAATTATAAGACAGACTTATTTCCACAAACTCACTGTTTTATTGGAACTAGTGATTTTTTTAAATGTTTTTCAAAGAGAAAATGTGTTAAAAGAAAGTCGATAAGCAATATTTGTGATCAGAAAATTTTCAAAAAAAGTCAATTAGTGTTTGATAAGGCATCATATGATTATTGAAATATCAACACGTCACCAGATTTTCCTTTGAAATAAATTAATAATTGAAGCATGTTACTTTGGACAGGTAGTTGAACTGGCAGATGTTTTTGTATCACATTCAAATTGTATTTTGTATTAGTAAAAACTTAACAATGCAATATTTCCATTTTAAACTTTGTCAAAGTCTCACATACAGAAGAGTATCAAAAATGTTTGTTGTATGCTACTTTGTGTCATTGAATAAATACATGTCACCCAAGTTGCTCCTCTATTTTCATTTATTTTGCCAGTTTGATTGTACTGTATTTTTGTTATATCTTGTATGCTAAATGTTCCATAAGTTAAGCACAGTCTAAAAATGTACCTCGACCCAAATCGAAAAAATAGCATTACGTCCAGAGAAGTATATATCCAGGGAGCGTAATCATCAAGAAGAGTCCAAAGTAGGCATCACCAAATACTGTGCTACAACAGGAACTCACACAACATGAAAGTCCATAAGATATGGAGGGGTAGGATAGCCAATGTTTCATTGCAAACAAAACATCAATACTGAATTGTCAGTGACACTTCTTTTTAGCTCACCTGCCCAAAGGGCAATTGAGCTTATGTCATGGTGCGGTGTCTATCGTTCATCCATCGTCCAGCGTCTGCCGTCCGTCCATCATCCGTTGTCCACACATATTGAACCGGTTACACAGTACATCATATCACAGAGACCTGAGAAACAGTCACAGCTTCACCAGGACCCACTCCAAACACCACAGCCCAGGTCCAAATACAGCTGCAACAAACTCACAGGTCCCTGTGAGTTTAGCCTTCACATATCAAGAAACTGAGCAGTGATGAATAGAAAATATACGTGCAAGAAAAAGAAAAAAAACGCAAATCCAGGGAAAGGTACATTTTAAGATTTCACCGATATTTCTTGAAATATAAGATCTTCCTATAACACCACCAATATTGTTATCAATCATAAGTGTGTGACAATATCAGCTCATGTCATTTATTTCCTCATTATTATTGTTTAAGGAGGATCCACCCTTTTGCAATTAGCCAGCAGAATTCAATGAAAGTTTCACATAATGGTTATGTCACTATGTAGAGATGATTTTATGAAAATCAAAGCATTCCGATAAACTGGGGAATTTTTTGTAAAAAATACTGAAAAATTGAATTTTTGTCAAATTCAACACTTTCGCATTTTTTGAGCATGTGGCATTGTTCAAAACTATTACAACAATAAAATAATGAAAAGAAACATTGCTAATCAACCTTACAAATATTTTATTTATCATAAAATATTTACAACATGTTACCAAAAGCGTTTTTTATTGAAATTGTATGGATAAAAGTTACTAAATACAAGCTAAAAGCCTAAATGTCTTTGTATCATAAGCTTTATTTATGAAGTATGTGAGATTACACATTTCCAAGTTAAGTCTCGATATCGGGTGATGACATATCACCTTCACGCACGTGTACTATTGTTTACCCAGTGTTACTATAATTTACACTACGGTAATGGAATGCACGATACGCAATACGGAAATGACGACACGAAAATACAACAAGAAAAACATGTGTATTACGAAGGGTGGGAAGTCCTTAAACTGTAACAGTTCTGGTAACACATGAACACCAGTTAAACGATATTTTTTTTTATAACCGGTCGCATAGACCTTTGTATTCATATTGAACAGTCTCATTATCGGCAGGGTTTACCTGGACAGGGAAGTGATTTGTACTCTGTGTGAATTACCAGTAACAAATATACAATTATCTTAAAGACTATTTGGGGATGGGTTTTAGATTCATCACTGCTCAGTAACAAAAATGACACAATGTAAAGTTAACATGACAGCTCATATAATACCACAAATAGTATACCCGCAAGCGTGAAACGTCGCACGCACAGGAACATCTGCACGTGTTCAATATGGGGCTTTGGGCAAGGTCATCACAACAACCACCAGGAATCACTCCCACTTACGTTGTCTGTATCATTGGAATATATAATTATGGATTGGGGAAAATCAAAGCTTCTGTACGCGCCGACTGTAGACTAGCATTTGATCCTTTGATGTTATCACAAGGATACCATCACGCAACATTCTTGCCACTTTTCCAATGTCTTGTGAGGACAGTTGGAATATGCAGGAGTAGTAGGGTCAACGTACAAACTGAAATATGTAGACAGTGGCAGATCCAGACACCTTCATTGGGGGGTTTCCAAATTTCCAGGGGGGGGGGGGGGGGGGGGGGGGGTTCCATGTGGGAAAAACATAGGAAAATGGTGAAAATACACAAATTTTACAGAAAATTATCAGGATGGGGGGTTTCCCGAGGCCCAAAGGAAAGTGTACAACGTCACGCTACGAATTATCTCCAGAAAGATTAAGGAAATTGAATCTACCAACACTAGCATAATATTTTATTATAGGAGACTTCGAGATCGAAATGTACAAGATTGTAAACAGAATATACGATAGAGAGGCATGTATTTTTGTTAAACTTTGGAGTGAGGAATCAGAAATAGCACAAGAGTCGGTCAACAACATCCTTCATCTTCATCTTTAAACCTTCCTCCTAAATATTGACGATTACGGAATTGTGCTGTTTAAGTGCGTTGTTATGTTGGATTTTTTTTATAATTTGCTATTGGATAAAAACAGGTTAAAAGCAGTGAGTGACAATTGTTTTGGGTAGGAGGTTCCATTGTGTTATGGTGTATGGAAAGGTATCCTGCCTGAGGAGAAAATATTTTAGTTTACGTACAGTCAAACCCTGGAACAATCTTCCGGAGGATGTTGTATCCGCTCCAAATATCAATACTTTTAAGAACAGAATAGATAACTTTTGGCAGAATATGAAGAACTTTATTATAATTAACTGTTATAGAGCAAATCTAATTAACAATGAGCTTAACTTTATATTATACAATTGTTTAATTTTTGAGTTCACTGTAGAGGAGCTCTACCGACTCCTGTACATGTATTTATAACTAACTTAACGGTAACTTTAATGCACAGTTTGTGTGACGGTTACCACGTGCTTTTGTTTTACCATGTGCTTGACGTCACATTGTTTTGAAAATAGTGTTGTTAGGGTCATCGTGGATATGTAAGGCCAGTTTTGATTGGATACTACAAACAGGAAGTCAATAAAATGCACCAATCAAATTAACTATTTCTTTCGGCGAAAGGATCGATTCAACACACGTTGGAACCAGTCAGACGTTTTCGGTGTCAATTTGGTTGAATTTCGACGAAATTTCTTGATTTTTACGTAAAAGGTATGTGTAAATAATCTCTGATCGACTTTCATCCATGTTTATGAAATGAGTATTAATGATTATTCTATTATGTTATTTCAGTTTGACAGGACACATGACTAACTGCTATAACGTACATGTACAGCTTTCTGACGACGAGAGATTTTTGTATGCCTATTGCGTCGTTAGAGAGCTAGGAGCCCGGGTATTATAGTACTAGACTCATGACGTGCTAGATTTTATGCATGTAACTTGTGAGAAAAAAATAATTTACGGTGTGCCTCATTGGGGATTGGATCCTTATATTAAATTATTAAATCGGTGCCCTCTTCCCACAAAACACGAGTCAAATGAGGAGACTGATGAGCTAATCGTGTTTGTTCATATTTGATAGGAAATATTGCTCCTCCAGGCCAATCATTAATCGTTTGCTATCCCCCCTCACACACGCGCACACACAACGAAAATTAATTTGTGTTAGCTTAGGTCAGACAATATATATATATATATATATAACATGTTGGAAAACATTAGGATAGATATAAAAAATACTTTAACAAATAATTGTATACGGTTTATATAAGAGTGATCATGACTTTAACCACAGGGGTTCGTTACAAATGTCTGAAATTATCATCTTCCTGGACAGGAGCTGACTGTAAGGGTAGTCCAACAGTGTTAGAGGTTTACATGGCAAGATACTTTTGACAGACGCTGTGTCGCAGTGGGCAAAAACCTATCGGATCCAGCGGCCTCTTATGTTATAGGTGTAACCCTAAGGGGTGTGCTGCTCCAGTGACATGGTGCACGTATGTCTTGGACCGCCAATTAAAAATTTATTGATTGATTGATTGATAGGTTTTACGTCAGCTTCATAGGGTGCCTCGGTAGCCGTGATCGCTAACGCGCACAGTCATTGTACTACTGTATGCTATCAAGCGTGAGCTTCAGATCACTCGGTCTCCTGAAAATTTCGGTTCGATCCCCACCAGCGGTGGTGGAAAAAGAGTGATGTCTGATAGGGTTAGTTGTTATCCCTCTGATGGCACAGTGGTTTCCCCTCGTGGGGTTTCCTCCACTACGAAAACACCATTTGTTCCCTTAGCGGCGTCGTAATAAAAGCTCTTCAGAGCTTATGTTTGTTGTTGACAATTGTACACGACGTTTAGTAAAGATTATTATTATTATTCACTACCAAGTCATTCGGTTATCCAGCAGTAGAAAAATTTAAAAATAGTGAGACATTTAAAGTGGCTCACTATGTAACAGCTATGAACTGTGTTACATAAAAAAAAATAAAAAAAATCTGGTACTGGTATCCGGCTATGCAGGTTCAGTGGTATCTTCCTGAAAGGTCCTGTAGTCGTAATGAGGACTGGAAGGATTCCACTGAAGGGGTATTGCTTTTACTGGGGATGTGGTTCCAGGTTATGATGGTTGGGATGAAAGGAGTTCAGATAGATGTCAGTCTTGTCAGGGATTTGTTTCAAGCTGCCAATGTCATCTCCATGGGTCCTTGCATTTCCTGCCTGATCTTATGGCTGAAATCAACGTCCACAATGTTGTTGATGATCTTATATAACAACATTGCCCTGGCCCTTGCCCTCCTTACTGCTAGGGGTTCCTATTTCGGATGATGCAGTATGGCTGTCATGCTACCTTCATCTCTGGAGTAGTTCTGCGTGGTAAATCTTGCAGCCTGCTTTTGGACTCTTTCCATCATCATGATATGTTGGGCTTGATAGGGGTCCCATACTGCTCTACCTTTGCAAGTTGGATTCTGTTCAAGTGGTAGTTAGTTTTGGATGTTCCTTCTTCGTCCGGGTTCAAGGCTATCTGCAAATCTCATGTCCACTTGTGGAGGGCGTTGAGATCGTCCTGTAGCTTAACGCTGTCTCTGGCAGAATGTATTTTTCGGTAGATGATGCAGTCATCTACAAATAACCAGATGTTGACATAAACGATGTGATCCATATCAGTATAGCAACGAACCCCTGAGCTTTAACCATGCTTCTTTGAAAATTGCATTCAAAAGCGTAGTGTACACAAAAAATATAGGTTAGGTAGCTATAGGGTTACCGGAAACACAAAATATTTTTGTTTGGCCTTATATTGCTGGTAGCTATTTGAAAATTGTTATAAATTATCAATGAAAATGGAGATCTGACTGCCGTTACCAGTTAAATAATAATATAGTACTACAAATTTTAAGTAGACCATGTGTGTGGCTCCTAATGATTTGTAGGCCTATGTTGTTACCTGTGGTGAGTTGAAATAGTTCAGTACTTTTTCAATGCTTCCATTTGGGGTTGAACCCAGTATCTATGTTTTACTAATCTTAGTTTCCTCTGACCCTGACACCAGACTTAGACATTTTGACAGATAGCTCTATCATCTGGTGTCAGGGCCAGAGGAAACTCAGGCTATTCTTACGATCTACCAAATACAAATGAGCTTTACAAAGATAAATCCCCCTAGCCGAGTCGGATTGAAACAGCGTGTATTTTACCAGGGGGACACATTCCCTCTACATGAAAGAACTTGACTTGAATTTTCCATAGGTCATATATCGATTCTTGTGAAAGTACTGCTGAGTATTTTTGTCAATATTACAAAGGTCTCAATGTGGGCACCAATGTAACAAAGGTAATTGTTTTTTTCAATGATCCACATGAGTATGCTGAGCTTAAAGTTGAGCAAAATTATACTTTACTCTGAGGTTTTTTCACACAATAACTTAATATAATGTATATATGACTGGATAGTTTTTACGAAACTTTTGTAAATGTTATATTTTACAAGAATTGGAAATGTCTTTGGTTTTAATGGTTTAAGATGAATTGAATACAGATGTCAGAAGGGAAGCAGCACAGATTTCATTTTTTATAGTTTGAAAAAAAAGCATACATTTGTTTCTGGGTGTAGTTAGCTGTAGTAAGATAGTTCAATTAGTAAAATCACCTGATATTTCATAATATAAATGTTTGCATCTGGGTCTAGTTAGCCATAGTATACACAGAAGCTATCAATTGTCTGATATAGCCTATTTCTATTGGTGCTTCAGGTTATCATCACATTGATCACTGAGATGAATGCTGCTATAGAGAACGCCATGGAGCAGCAGCTGCTCCATGCAGCTAATGTCATGGAACAGCAGGTAGATGCTCAGCTACACAAGATGGAACACATGGACGATGATGATTTTGAGAGCCTTCGTAGGAGGAGAATGGAAAGCATGAAGAAAGCACAATCACAGAAGCAGGATTGGCTTGCTGCAGGACATGGCAAATATGAAGAAATTTCCAACGAAAAGGAGTTTTTTGATGCATGCAAAAAGAGCAAACAAGTTGTTTGCCATTTCTACAGAGAAAGTACCTACAGGTGCAAAATAGTCGATAAGCATCTTGCAATTATAGCTCCAAAGCATTTAGAAACCAGGTTTATCAAAATCAATGTTGAAAAGTGTCCTTTCTTAGTAGAGCGTCTTAGAATAGTTGTTTTGCCAACCTTGTGTATTGCCAAAGACGGTAAAACCACAGACTACATTGTAGGTTTTGATGATCTAGGAGGCAAAGATGACTTCCCCACAGAAGCGATGGAATGGCGTTTAGGAGTTGCCACTATTATCAATTATAGTGGTGATCTTCTGACCCCACCAGGAGGACTACCGACAAAGAAACCAACCATTCTAGGTCATCAGAAGAAAACAATTCGCGGAGGTGATCGGGATGACAGCAGTGATGAAGACGACTGGTGAATAAATAGGACAGTGTTTTAAAGAAGCAATCGGACATATTTAAACCCATGCTGAACTGAAATTCACTGCCAAGTTTGATATTTTTATTTAGATTTGACTGTCCAATTTTACGCTAAGAACAAGTCTGACAAAAAATTATATTACCTAGCAGTTTGTTTTATTGATGGCATTCAATTTTATGTTGGCATAACATATGTACCAAGGTAATAACAAATCACTTGTTTTTATATCTTAACTCACCGTTGTCGACATCATACCATTAGTCTACGACTTCTATCTTGGAAGTAGAGGATTTCAGAAACAATATAAGAGTGTATTGGAAGTACAAACGAATTACCTTGGGTACCTTTACCTGGAAAAAGAAAACATTCAAAATGAAAGTCAAACTAAACAAGTACAAGAACATCTGATAACTAATTATAAATAAAAATACAAGTTTAAAGACACAACACTTCTAATGACCATTACAGAAGTTTTTCATTGTATTTTAGACATAACTTTACAGATCTATATACATCATCCATGATGATATAGTATACCAGTATTCCTCATCAAATGTAATTCTTTCAGCATCTCATCAAACAGTTTCAGTCATTTAACAAATCCAACTTGTAAGCATGCATTACAGTGCAAACAAGTGTTCTGACTCAGACTGGTCAGTATCAACATTCAAAGATACCATTTAGCTCCTCATATTAATTCTGGATTGTTGTGTTGTGTTTGACCTTTCTTTACAACAGGAAAGTTACAGTACAGATAGGTCACTGTGACCTATATCTTGTCGACCTTGGACCTTGTCACTGATTTTTTTTTTAAGAAAGGTTTACATGAAGTACTGTACCCTGTTACCTGTAAATTACTATGTAAAGCCCCATTTTTGAGTAGATAAATTGTTTGTCTTTTCATTTGGTTGTCATATTTTGTAACAGTCTTAAATACAAACAAAACAGGTCTTGTCCATATTGTCATGATTAGTCTTAATTGTATATAAGATAATATTTATTGATTTTTTTTTTTTAACATGGAGACATTTTATATGTAAAACAATACAATACTGTTTACATAAAATTCAATTCTTTTGAGTCTTCACATCATGTGTTTTATTTTATTTATACTTGACATCAGTAGTAATGAACACAGGGGCACAAGTGTTCTGAGATATAATTATCATCTGTTTTAATACTCCAGCAGTGTTAGAGGTTTACAGGGCAAGATACTTTTGGTACTCATGATCATCCTACAACCAATACCACAGATCAGATAAAAACAGATAGTCTATATAGTGTGTATTTACTCAAAGCCACAGGTATAGGATTTTTATTTTATTTTTGTGTGGAAGGGCCAATCAATTCAATTATTCACCTGTATTTGCCAGATGTTACCTGTTTTGACTTATTACTTATAAGTAGAATGAAAGATGTCTTTCATCTTTCTTTTTTCCTTAAAATTTACAAGAAACTTACAATTCCATATTTCAAGACATCATCTGCATATTTCTATAAAATGTTCCATCATAAACTAAATTATAAAATGTAGTAGATCTAATTACATTCCATAACTGCTGTGCATAGTCCCTGTGTTAATATATTGCACATAGAACAGATGACTACATGGAGATGTCTGTCTGCCATGGAAGTATACTGTCCTCCAGGTCGCCCTCTACACCTCCATGCTAGTAGAGTTCTTGGCCATACACATCCCCAAGTAACACATTCCGGTGCTTGAGTTGAACCCGACCCATGGGGTGTATCGAAAGTCATCTGTTGTGAGAGAATAGCCCATTATTGTTGTCTGGTTATAACTGGGCTCGTCACTGTTTGTAGAAGGTGTCCTGGATGGTCGCAGGTACTGACTAAAAGCTGTTGAGTTCAATGTGATTCTGTCAGAACTTTTGTTTGACGTTACAAAATTTATAAGTGGTCCCAAACTTTTACCTTCAGTACAAACATAACACTTGAAGGATATTTTTTTGGACACTTTGGAACAGAACCTAGTCCTGTTAGCTCTGTCACTGTAGGGAAAATATCTACTAATTCAACTTGGCATCACTATAATATCCTTTGGAGTGTTGTAATGTTGAATAATTAAAACTTAGATTTTCAAAAAATCAAGGTTTATAGTTGCTAATGTTAAAATGAATTAAAGCTTGTGTATTTTGAGTAGATTTTTGTTGTGTTACCTATGACAGGTTTTCCAAGGAACATAAACCATCATTGGCACCCTGACTGCCACCTCAAAGTTGCTGTACTTGGACCATTCTTGGTGTTCTCCCAGGGACCAGCCTACCAAACAAAACAAATAATACACCTGTCTAGCCTCTATACAATACATCTCGATATCGGACATGGAGGCCATCATACTAAACTTTCCCAAGATCATGAAACTTTGACAAGTCTACTAAACAACATGTAAAAGGTACTGGAACAATATCTTATGCCAGCAGTAATCAAAATGTATATTACATAGGCAGTTGTCCTTAATTATTATCATGAAAGTTCATTAAGACAGATCAAACATTTCATTTAGGCTGATAAACAGTTCAGATCTATCATATACTTGACTCATCAACGTAACACATTAAGTAGCACCTTGCACTTAACTCGTCAACACCTCTTGTTGTACAAATTAAAGGTGACGCAGCATCTTGTGGTTCTCCTTTTGTGTAATAACAATTAGATATCTAATTTGTGCTGTGACACAGCTGTAACTTTACAGTTCGGAAAGGAAATGCTACTATTAGTATGGTGAATGACCTGGCAAATCTTTCCATCAGATTACTATATACTGGGAAAGTCTTGCTGCAGTTCAACTTCCGCCTTTTTTCGCCCACCTTAATGAAGGTGAATTTATCATTACAACAATCATTAGTAAATAACATAATATGTACAGTACTAAACTTGAAGATGAAATGACCACTGGGCAAATAGAGACTAAACTGGCAATGGGCGAACATTTTTCGGTATACAGTACCATAGTGAGGGGTTCCAGAGAACAAGCTTCAAGTAAAATCTTCAAACAACTTCTCAATAACCAAAAGGCTCAGGGTACTGAAATTATGCCTGTAGCATGCTGAGATGAAGGACTACCAAGTTTGTTCAAATGAATGACCTTGATCTACTTTCAACCTGATGTCCTTGTTCGACATTCAAGGTCACAGGCATCATATGTTTAAATCTTTTAATAGGTTCTTATGAATCAAACACTGATATTCTGCCTGTAGCTGTATTTTAGTCCACTTTTAAGATTACAAGTGTGAGATTAATACCAGGTGAGCGATGCAGGCCCATTGGGCCTCTTGTTGAGATTCAGTATGTGCTCATAGCCTGTCATAATGCTGATGTGATTTAAAACTATGTTGTTAAAGTTTTCTTAATTCACAATCGCAAGGCTGCCTTGTGTAGCTTTGGACAATGTGAAATCCACTGGTACTGGTCCGTAGGGGAAGCTTACATTATGTGATTGGACATCGTGTCGTCTCCGAAGGTCCATCCAAGGGTTCCAGGCTACTTTTGGTAACTTGACTGGGAGTGTAGGGTCAGGGGCCAAGTGGACTTGTGACAGGAGGTATAACTCTGTTGATGTAAGAAATGAGTGGGTCAGGTGTACTTTGACAAGGGAGACAATTCATTCAAATAATAGTTCTGTCAAGGTAAGAAGTGTGTTGGTCAGGTGTACTATGACGAGAGGTGTAGGGTCAGGGGCCAAGTGCACATTTGAAAATAGGGTATAGATCTCATCATGTATGAAGTGTAGGTCCAGGGGGTAAATTGTACCATGACAAGGGAGATAATTCTGTCAATATCAATAGTGTGGGGTCAGAGATTAAGTGCACATATGACAAGGGGTGTATATAGTTCTGTCTTAAGTCTGGGGTCAGGTCAAGTGTGTAGATGAAGAGGGGTATAACTTCCTGATTGAGGTTCATCATTTTGGTATGAATAATAAATGTTAAGTTTGTTTTAAACACAGTTATTGAAAACTTATTTGCGAGCTTTTGAAAATGTCTGTTTTCTTTGTCAAGAAAAGACTGCCAGTGACCCCTTTTCTCGACACTAAACTGCTGATTGAAAAGCGAAATATCATTACCCTGGGCCTTTTGGTTATTGATAAAAAATCATTTGAAGATTTTAACAGATTTGACCCCTTTGACCTTGAAAGTGGGTCAAGGTCATTCAATTGAATAAACTTAGTAGCCCTTCATCCCAGCATGCTACAGGCCTAATTTCAGTACGATGGGCAATTTGGTTATTGAGAAGAAGTTGTTTGAAGATTTTACGACCTTTGACACGTTACCTTGAAAGTGGGTCAAAGTCATTCGTTTGATGATTTTAACACATTTTACCCCTGTGACCTTGAAATTGGGTCAAGGTCGTTCTTTTGAACAAACCTGTTAGCCCTTCATCCGAGCATGCTACCCTGGGCCTTTTGGTTATTTAGAAGAAGTTGTTTCAAGATTTTAAGACATTTGACCCCTCTGACCCTGAAAGTAAATCAAGGTCATTCATTCGAATACATTTGGTAGGCCTTCATCCCAGCATGCTGCAGGCCCAATATCAGTACCCTTGGCCTTTTGGTTATTGAGAAGAAGTCGTTTAAAGATTTAAAGACATTTGACCCCTGTGACGTTGAAAGTGGGTCAAGGTCAAGACCTTGAATATAACTAAGGGTCATTCATTTGAACAAACTTGGTAGCCCTTCATCCCAGCATGCTTCAGGCCCAAGTTGTTTGAAGATTTTAAGACTTTTGACCTGTGACCTTGAAAATGGGTAAAGGTCATTCATTTGAACAAACTTGGTGGTTTCTTGATGATTTTAACATATTTGACCCCTGTGACCTTGAAAGTGGGTCAAGGTCATTCATTTGAAGAAACTAGGTAGCCCTTCATCCTTTTGGTACCCAACTGCCAGGAAGAAAGATTTCGTGCTTGGCATACTGGGCACGTGTTTGAGGATGCTTACTGCATGGTGCGTACTTTGTATATCTGGCAGTGTTCCTTCTGGCTGTTGGGCCACGTCTACTGGACAGACCACATCCATGTCAAGTCCACAATCAACCTCTGGACATACCTCAAATATACACACATACATGATGTACCTATGTACCAACAACTTATAGACATACCTCAAATAAACACACATACCTATGTACCAACAACTTATAGACATACCTAAAATATACACACATACCTATGTACCAGCAACTTCTGGACATACCTAAAATATACACACATACCTATGTACCAACAACTTCTGGACATACCTAAAATATACACACATACCTATGTACCATCAACCTATAGACATACTAGTATCTATGTACCTACAAGATAGGTTGAGGGTGAGGGGTTGAAGCAAACCATCATTCATGTAATAATGAATTCCCTGGGTCCAGAAACAAATCTCTTGTTGTGTGCTGATCTTTGCCTTTTGGGCCCCCCACTTTCCCCATAGAGGTCAAACCTTACATTCACGCTTGGCCCAGGGATGCTCATTCTGTGCCAAATTAGGTCAACATTCTTTAACCTGAACTTAAAACAACCCCCAACCCCTCTGCCCCAATTTCTTTTGATCTACGAATGATCCATACCAAAATGAGTCAAAATCTCTTCTCAGTCATTCTGATCAAGTAGTCTCTAACATTTCCACATCAAATGAGCTAATGAGCTACATATAACCCATAAATTGAAAATAATCACAGGAATCCACATCATGCAAAGCAAATGCTGTAAAACTTTGTAAGATTTACAGCTCTTACTATCTTCATGTTTCACAAAAGCAATACTTGTTACAGTTGTATTATCTGCCTCAGAGTTCCTTGGCCATTTGGTGTTTCTGTGTTAATGGGTGGCAGGGTGCTTGTGACCGGCTGTATGGGTAATCATCTGTTCCTCCTGAAGCTCGACCTACAACAGTTGCAGACAACTCTCAGTGACCAATATATCATACAGTTTCTATATAATTAGTTACCATTAATAGACAACTCACCCTACAAAGGAAGACAACGCTCTCCAGTGGTCAGTAAATCATACAATTTCTATATAAATTACCATAAATAAACAATCAGAGTATAGATATTCCCTATGATAACTACTTTTTTTTGTAGCTATATATTGACTTGAGCAAGTCTAATGGGTTTTCACCATACAATCAACACATAACTTTTTTTAGAAGAAGACTGATATAGGCAAAGCCTGTTGTCTTATTCTTTTGTCAATACTGTTCAAATATCTCCTTTAATGTTAACTTATATGTTTGTATTATATATGTATTGTCAATAAAATACTTTGAAATTGAAATTGAAAAACACATAACTTGCTCAAGTCAAAAGACAACGACACAATCATACAGACTGAACCCAAGTGTAGCTAGCATGTAAAAAATATATATATATGGTAACTTGAAGGTTAGAGCAACACAAACACACTGGAACAAAACCATTCAGCAATCAGATTAATCAATTGTTGAAGGAAATCTGGCCTTTGCTTTTTTCCTAAATTTGTTATAATTGAAACTTACACATGTGCATTGCACTTAAATCAAGGTGTATGTCCCATGGCTCATGACAATGGCTCTCCTACTGTATAATCATACTGTTTTGCATGGCATCAAATTGTGAATATTTAGGTAAAATAGATTAATGTCTTTACTTAGCAGAATGAAATAGTTTGATATTTTTACTGACCAGGATGACATAGTTTTATGTTTTAACTGACCAGGGTGAAATATTTTGCCGACAGACATTGTGTGATAGCCATTCAGCCTGAAATGTTGTGGCAGTGTGGTGAATTCCTGCCAGTCTCTCTCCAGTAAGCATGAATGTCATACACTCTCGTTGTGTCTGGTCGTCTGCTAGTCAGAAATGAGGCCCTGCTAGGCCAACATAAGGCTTGCTGTGAAGAAAAGCAAAAGAATATTTACACGTAAGACTGTTCACACTGATCACAGACTTACACTTAGACACATGTTTACCTGTATATAGCAGTTAATACTTCTAAGGCATACTATACATGTTAACCTGTATAAAAATCACTAAAACTTGGAAGGTCTGCTTTCTATTAAAGCAGACCATTTGATCAGTTAACCTGTGAGAGGATCTAAAAGTATGCACCAGGTAAGTATACACAAAGACCACTTGGACAGTCTTACTTGTATAATGAGTGCATACATACCTTTTTACCTGAAATCAAACAAAAACAGTGATGACATTATAATTAACAAACTGATGGCTCAGCTAGATTGTCTGGATCAGGACCAACCATGGACAACCTGTACTGGTGCATATGCCTTTGTTAAGACAACAGAGAGACTGCCATGGCCAGGTTGTCTCGGTTACTGACTTACCTGTATATAAGCTGTGGTGAAGATATCAGATTTATAGACCCAGGAACCAAGACTTAAACCATAAACTTACCTGTACAAAGGTTCTGGTGACGATATAAGAGTATGCCCTGGTGAAGACAACAGAATGACGGACCAGGTTGTCTTGGTTACTGACTTACCTATACGTATGCCCTGGTGAAGACAACAACGTAACGGACTAGGTTGTCTTGGTTACTGACTTACCTATACGTATGCTCTGGTGAAGACAATAGAGTGACGGACCAGGTTGTCTTGGTTACTGACTTACCTATACGTATGCCCTGGTGAAGACAACAACGTAACGGACCAGGTTGTCTTGGTTACTGACTTACCTATACGTATGCTCTGGTGAAGACAATAGAGTGACGGACCAGGTTGTCTTGGTTACTGACTTACCTATATGTATGCCCTTGTGAAGACAACAGAGTGACGGACCAGGTTGTCTTGGTTACTGACTTATCTATACGTATGCCCTGGTGAAGACAACAGAATGATTGGTCAGGTTGTGTTGGTTACTGACTTAACTTTATGACGGACCAGGTTGTCTTGGGTACTGACTTACCTATACGTATGCCCTGGTGAAGCCAATAGGGTGACGGACCAGGTTGTCTTAGTTACTGACTTATCTATACGTATGCCCTGGTGAAGACAACAGAATGATTGGTGAGGTTGTGTTGGTTACTGACTTAACTTTATGACGGACCAGGTTGTCTTGATTACTGACTTACCTATACGTATGCCCTGGTGAAAACAACAGAGTGATTGGTCAGGTTGTCTTGGTTACTGACTTACCTATACGTATGCTCTGGTGAAGACAATAGAGTGACGGACCAGGTTGTCTTGGTTACTGACTTACCTATACGTATGCCCTGGTGAAGACAACAGAATGATTGGTCAGGTTGTCTTGGTTACTGACTAAACTATACGTGTGCCCTGGTGAAGACAACAGAGTATTTAGTCAGGTTGTCTTGGTTACTGACTTACCTATACGTATGCCCTGGTGAAGACAACAGAGTGACAGACCAGGTTGTCTTGGTTACTGACTTACCTATACGTATGCCCTGGTGAAGACAACATAATGATTGGTCAGGTTGTCTTGGTTACTGACTTAATTATATGACGGACCAGGTTGTCTTGGTTACTGACTTACCTATACGTATGCCCTGGTGACGACAACATAATGATTGGTCAGGTTGTCTTGGTTACTGCCTTACCTATACGTATGCCCTGGTGAAAACAACAGAGTGATTGGTCAGGTTGTCTTGGTTACTGACTTAACTATACGTATGCCCTGGTGAAGACAACACAATGATTGGTCAGGTTGTCTTGGTTACTGACTTACCTATATGTATGCCCTGGTGAAGACAACAGAATGACGGACCAGGTTGTCTTGGTCACTGACTTACCTATACGTATGCCCTGGTGAAGACAATAGAGTGACGGACCAGGTTGTCTTGGTTACTTGTTTAAATATGCGTATGCCCTGGTGAAGACAACAGAGTGACGGACCAGGTTGTCTTGGTTACTGACTTACCTATACGTATGCCCTGGTGAAGACAACAGAAAGACGGGTCAGGTTGTCAAGGTTTGGAGTGACAATACTAGTGTAATTATAGGAGTAACTCCCCAGGGTAGGTCTTAGGTCATCCACAAGGATGTAGAGAACATTCTGTCCGGAATCTATCAACCAATCATAAAAATGACAACATGTTTAGAATAGACAAAAATATCTTTTGTTTGAATAATAGCTTTTAATAGTTAATGTTAAATGTTTTTAAATATCCGACGTTAAATAAAGTTTAAAATTAAAACTAAAAAAACACACTTCAAAAACAGATATGTTTGCACCTGTAGATGTATGTATTTGTCCAGTTAGCTGATTTATTCTATTGTTTCAGATTATATTAAATCTAAAACTAGCGTCAAAATCTGCGAGATATTTACAATTTTTATGTAATACCTGTTGACATGGTAACACTTTATATTGGTCAGTCGTAGGGCAGTAAAAACTAAAGGACATACAAAATAAACCTTATATATCAAACATTTTGTGAAATTCTCTTGTCATAGGTATTATACAATATATGCGAGATGCATTCAACATCTTTCATTTATGATAAACATTGCTGGAAGTCTTTTGATTTACTATAGATATTGTGATAAACAAACAGTAGAAGTAATCATTGCAAAGTTATCTGCGTCTGGTGTGTAAATATTTGAAAATATGAAGTTGCTAAGATCTTTCCTATACTACTCTACTATATTCAATTCTTTTAGGATAAGGAAGACTGCTTCATGACAGAGAAACAGTAGTCGTAGACTAATTGTATGACTTCGATTTAAATGCTGCGCAGACACATAGCAGACCTATGTTAAATGCATAGACTAAAAATTCAAAGTTAGTCGGCTTCAACAACTTCGCTTTCCTTCCTTTGGCATAGCACAGCGGCACTATTCGGCTGTATTAGTTACCCCGAAATTATGAACCGGGGTATTTTGGACAAGCCCTGGCTGGGGAAATGTCATCCTCGATACTCCAGGGGTTATGTTCACTTTCGCACACCTGGAATATGTCATGACAAAATTGAAAACAATCGCCCAGCTATTTGATTGGTATCAGGTGAAACTACCTGACCCATCGTTATAGGCTGATACATGTTACAAAGGAGCAACATCCGACTTCAAAGAGACCGCAAAATTATTTTGATGTACACCAAAGGATCAAATCAGTCTTTCTCTCACCCACAAGGTGACGCACACTGAGCCTTCGATTTTGCTATGACATATTTCAGGGGTGCGAGCGTAACCCCTGGAATATCGAGGTTGGGGTAAACTTGTGATGTACATATTTTCGTTATTTTACTCTTTGGACTTAGAACTTCTTTTAGCCTGTTAAAACTAACGATACAGTGACCTGCGGTCTCTATACAAAATATACCACATACACCCTCCGATATGGAATGACCAGGATGACAAAAAAATGGATAAGATGTCATATATTAGCTCCATAATGCCATGACGCAGATAACAGCGATTGCAGAGTGTCTTCGCAAAGGGCATCCAGACGCTATTGGAACCAAAGCATCTGATTAATAAATGGATGGAACTATTTAAGGAAAACAGGCAGCCAGGCACAGCGAAGGGCATCCAGACGCTATTGGAACCAAAGCATCTGATTAATAAATGGATGGAACTATTTAAGGAAAACAGGCAGCCAGGCACAGCGAAGAGTATCCAGACGCTATTGGAACCAAAGCATCTGATTAATAAATGGATGGAACTATTTAAGGAAAACAGGCAGCCAGGCACAGCGAAGGGCATCCAGACGCTATTGGAACCAAAGCATCTGATTAATAAATGGATGGAACTATTTAAGGAAAACAGGCAGCCAGGCACAGCGAAGAGCATCCAGACGCTATTGGAACCAAAGCATCTGATTAATAAATGGATGGAACTATTTAAGGAAAACAGGCAGCCAGGCACAGCGAAGAGTTACTTGATGGGTTCTTTCAGAGAACTTTTTTTAGACTTTCTGTAAATGTAAGGTACAAGCGTAAAAGAGGCCCGGAATTTGAAACTGTCGGTAACCCGCTAGTTCTCTGCGCTTGCTGAAAGGTCTCGGGAAACAGCAATTGAATTTGAACGGTAGTGATGTATGTTAATGAAAACATATCGGTGGAGGGAATAACAGTTTTTCAAAAGTCGGACCATGCAACTGAAGCTAAACATGCGGTTGACAGCGTAAAATTGGATTCATTGAAAGGACTTTCCATTTTATAACATATTCTCATGAGGAATTACCTAATTTTGCAAATTTATTTCAAAACGCATAAAGAGCAGGGGCACCTTGATGAATTTCGTTAAAAACAGTTCAGAAGTCACACAAGTTATTTGTCAACACAAAACCTAGTACAGATGACTATATTATGTATACATCAGCATCAGAAAAATGATTCCGTGGGTAACGGAGGAGATGTTACGAGATTCTCCCCAACACCCATGTAGGCTAAAAGATTGTCTGTAGACTATTAACAGGTGTGATTGTTTGGGCTCAAGAGGTTCCTCGTACTTTACAAGGACATTGACTGATGCTCTCAATAAAGTGTGAACTACGCATTTCGATTCGTCTTATTTTAATATACATGGTTGTTTAATTTATTTATTTAATTACTGTGTACTTTAGATAAGATATCGTACACAAAACTGTGCAAAAACCTATCAAATTATGTTCAAGAAATGTGTTAATCTGATCGAAAATTTGATTTAAATTGTTATAGTTTATCAATTGTTCTATGTATATTTTTTCCATGAAATCATTCATTTTCTTGCCCTTTTCGTCCCCTTTTCGTGCCCTTTTCGTGCTGTTTTCAATGCAAAAATCACAATACTGTTTCATGGTAGGTTCATTTTCCAAAATTGAAAGTGCACTATAGGATAAGATATAATTATTATTTTCGTGCATTTTTTGTCGTCAATATCGTTTTCATCTGCGAATAGCATTATTTTGTTTAAAATTGTTTTATAAAGGCACTCCAGTGTGTTTTCTACCAAAAATACCCAAGCTACAAACAAAAAATGTAATTCTACAAACCAGAAAAGAAAAATAACCCTTTGAACAGAATTTCAATTGAATATCAAAATAATCGTATTGCTTATACTATTGCCTAAAACCTCTAAGAAAATGCTAAAATGTTTTCTAAAAACTAATTTCAGATTTAACTCTAATCGTTGTCATTTTGCAACAAAATGGATTTTCATAAATTTTAATAAAGCAAATAGTAGGTCATCAAAATGAATCAAGTTCGGCACATTCAGAATAATTTTTTCAAGGACGTTTTCCACACGAAGGGCGCACAAAATCAATTATTCACGATATTTCCCAAAACTCAATTATGGCTGCCATAAGTGGTGAAAAGAAAAAAATGATTTATGTTGAAAACAAAGTGAACGTAAGTTTAAAAAAGGTTCCAAACGTCCCCAACAAGATCTACATCTAAGTCCGTTATTGGGCTATTATAAACTGCGTCTTTGTGAGTGTTTGCGTTGTCGTAACGTTTGCAGTGTTGTTACGTTTGCGTTGTCGTTACGTGTTACGTTTGCGTTGTTGCTAAGTGTTACGTTTGCGTTGATGTTACGTGTTACGTTTGCGTTGTCGTTACGTGTTACGTTAGCGTTGCTGTTACGTTTGCGTTGTCGTTACGTTTGCGTTACCGTTACGTTTGCGTTGTCGTTACGTTTGCGTTGTCGGTACGTTTGCTTTGTTGTTACGTTTGCGTTTTCATAACGTTTGCGTTGTCGTTACGTGTTACGTTTGCGTTGTCGTTACGCGTTACGTTTGCGTTGTTGTTACGTGTTACGTTTGCGTTGTCGTTACGTTTGCATTACCGTTACGTTTGCGTTGTCGTTACGTTTGCGTTGTCATAACGTTTGCGTTGTCGTTACGTGTTACGTTTGCGTTGTTGTTACGTTTGCGTTGTCGTTACGTGCTACGTTTGCGTTGTTGTTACGTTTGCGTTGTCGTTATGTGTTACGTTTGTGTTGTTGTTACGTTTGCGTTGTCGTTACGTTTGCGTTGTCGGTACGTTTTCGTTGTTGTTACGTTTGCGTTGTCGTTACGTTTGCGTTGTTGTTACGTTTGCGTTGTCGGTCCGTTTGCGTTGTTGTTACGTTTGCATTGCAGTTCTGCTGCCTTTACGTTTGCATTGTTGTTACGTGTTACGTTTGCGTTGTCGTTACGTTTGCATTACCGTTACGTTTGCGTTGTTGTTACGTTTGCGTTGTCATAACGTTTGCGTTGTCGTTACGTTTGCGTTGTTGTTACGTTTGCGTTGTCGTTACGTTTGCGTTGTCGTTACGTTTGCGTTGTTGTTACGTTTGCGTTGTCGTTACGTGTTACGTTTGCGTTTACGTTACGTTTGCGTTGTCGTTACGTGTTATGTTTGCGTTGTTGTTACGTTTGCGTTGTCGTTACGTTTGCGTTGTCGGTTCGTTTGCGTTGTCGTTACGTTTGCGTTGTCGGTACGTTTGCGTTGTTGTTACGTTTGCGTTGTCGGTACGTGCTACGTTTGCGTTGTCGTTACGTTTGCGTTGTCGTTACGTTTGCGTTGTCGTTACGTTTGCGTTGTCGTTACGTTTGCGTTGTCGTTACGTTTGCGTTGTCGTTACGTTTGCGTTGTCGTTACGTTTGCGTTGTCGTTACGTTTGCGTTGTCGTTACGTTTGCGTTGTCGTTACGTTTGCGTTGTCGTTACGTTTGCGTTGTCGTTACGTTTGCGTTGTCGTTACGTTTGCGTTGTCGTTACGTTTGCGTTGTCGTTACGTGTTACGTTTGCGTTGTCGTTACGCGTTGCGTTTGCATTGTTGTTACGTGTTACGTTTGCGTTGTCGTTACGTTTGCATTACCGTTACGTTTGCGTTGTTGTTACGTTTGCGTTGTCATAACGTTTGCGTTGTCGTTACGTTTGCGTTGTTGTTACGTTTGCGTTGTCGTTACGTTTGCGTTGTCGGTACGTTTGCGTTGTTGTTACGTTTGCGTTGTCATAACGTTTGCGTTGTCGTTCCGTGTTACGTTTGCATTGTTGTTACGTGTTACGTTTGCGTTGTCGTTACGTGTTACGTTTCCGTTGTCGTTACGTTTGCGTTGTCGTTACGTTTGCGTTGTTGTTACGTTTGCGTGGTCATAACGTTTGCGTTGTCGTGCCGTGTTACGTTTGCATTGTTGTTACGTGTTACGTTTGCGTTGTCGTTACGTTTACATTACCGTTACGTTTGCGTTGTTGTTACGTTTGCGTGGTCATAACGCTTGCGTTGTCGTTCCGTGTTACGTTTGCATTGTTGTTTCGTGTTACGTTTGCGTTGTCGTTACGTTTGCATTCCCGTTACGTTTGCGTTGTTGTTACGTTTGCGTGGTCATAACGCTTGCGTTGTCGTTCCGTGTTACGTTTGCATTGTTGTTACGTGTTGCGTTTGCGTTGTCGGTACGTTTGCGTTGTCGTTACGTGTTACGTTTGCGTTGTCGTTACGTGTTACGTTTGCGTTGTTGTTACGTTTGCGTTGTCGGTCCGTTTGCGTTGTTGTTACGTTTGCGTTGCAGTTCTGCTGCCTTTGCGTTTAAACGGACAAGAAAAACGGCCAAGTGTCTGTATGTCGTTACATATTTTTATTGCAATTATTTTATTGCAGTCAGAAGAAACTAATCCAATTGGAATTAGCCATTTATTTTTAAAAAAAAAACTTACTTAAAGGAGACAAACTTCATAATTCAAGAAAAATTGGTGAAGTTTTGACTTGAAACATCTGATCCTAACCTAGACAGACAACTGGTTCACATACCCGCCTCGTTATCATAAAAGAATGTGTATTGTCCATGGATGCTACACTCGACTTCTTTTCTGGACCTTGTTTTATTTTAGTGAGATAGCACTATAAAGTTGGCATCAGATCCGCGCTATCACAAGGAGGAAAGGACACAACGTTACCCTGTCTCCTTCATACATACAAGCAAGCACGCACGCATACATTACACACATGGAGGCATGTCCTTAAATAACATTAGCTGTTAATAGGACGTTAAACAAAGTTAAACAAAACAAAAACAAATCCTCCCGGGGGACAAGGACAGTCGCCGTCACTACCGAGAC